CCTTGCTATTTATGAAATGTTGGGCTCTTAAACCAATTTTCAAGATTTATTTGGACATACTCAGATCTGTGATTCAGATGTGCCCTCTGCAATTCAAACTGCCTTGCTCCTGATGAGTCCATAAAAACTGTGGTAAGCTAATACACCAAATAAAACCTGTAGCCCTAGTGGCAATATATTAAGGAGTGTTAGGTTGCTGGTTTCTCCTTTAAACTTTATTCTGCATGTGCTCAGTGCCTTTTTAATCATTCTGTGCTTCAGAATGAAGTTTGGCTAACAATACACATTCGCCTCCCCTCCACAGGTCCCTTAATGTTTTAAATATCTGCAAAATTATTTCTATTTAGACTTAATTTATGAGGAAGTGATGCAGCCTCCTGCCAAGCTCTGAACTACAGACAGCTATATCTAGCCACCTTTTCCCCATCCAGCAGGCTCTCAGTAGTAACTTTATCTTCCCCTCGCCATTCTCAGGCCTATTAAACTTACTGGCAATTTGTTTTAGAAGCTTTTGTTTGTGTCCTCTCTCTCTCTGCTTCTCCACACGTCTGGCTGATAATGTTGTCTAACTTCTCCGCAGAAGGTGAAGGGAAAGAGACTCCTCCTTCCTGCTTTGCTTCTCCAATAGAGAAGCCAACTGGGTGATGCAAGCAGGCAGATAGGCTAATATATGTGCATTGGAGGATTGTGAGAGGAACATCCAGCCCCTGATGGGGGTCCTGCGGGGCACCCCAAAACACTGAAGAGCTCTCCTGGCCTCTTGCAGAACTGGGACTGTGCAGCCCTGTACTGAGCAGAAGGTGCAGCCGGGGGTCACCATGCCTTTGGAGGGCAGGGCACAGAAAGGGGCAGGAGGTTCAGGGGCCATTCCAACTCATACCTGGCAGGGGAGATACCATTATTGTAAAAGTGGTTTTCCCCGGGTAAGGCTCATCTATTGCACTTTGGATGTGCTGACCCCTGTGATTTCCCCAAATGTGGGAAAATCAACTGTTTAAGTGGGGGACTGTGTTTGTGGTTTCCCCTGGTCTTTCTAGAATCACTCTTTCCCCTTTGGTCCTTGGCTGTTTTCACTGCCTGCTGCCGTACGCCTGTTGGCCTTGCTGTTTTTCCAGGTGGGCTCCAGGAAGCAGATCCTGGAAAGCCAGCAGTGCAGAATGGTGAAGTCCAAACAGCAAGCAGTATCTGGTGCCAGTTCAGAGGCCTACCAGCATGGCAGTGGGAGGCTTCTGGGTGGTGGTGGCTGAACCCTTTTTTACTGTATTCGCTCCATAAAACGCACATACTTTCTCCCCCACTTTTTTTGGGGGGGGAAGTGCGTCTTATGGAGCAAAAATACGGTAGTTCTTTATTCACAATGTTTTCGTTCCCTCCCATAAATAACGAAAAAAGTAGCAAAGTTTCATTTGAAAATAGTTTTTCTTTTGTTATACTTTCCAACCACTTAATTACTTTAGACCAGAAAATTTCTACTCTTGGGCATGTTAACCACATATGTTCCAGAGTTCCTTTATTCTTACACTTCCTCCAACACATATCTGACATTCCTTTATTTATTCTATTGAATTTTACAGGGTATAAGTGATCTCTGTGCACTACTTTAACACTGTTTCTTTACCTTGAGTTGATACTGATTTATAAGGTTGAGAGGTCCTTTGGGAGACAAATTTAAAACTCAGATATCAGAAAACACATGGAAAAGAATAAGTATCAATGCATTAATATTAACCCACGAAGACCATGTATCATCACACTCTGAGATTTATATATTGCATGGTGCAACCAAACCCATGGCATGTCTAGGCTGCTTGTGCTCAAGCAACCTAAGGTCATTACTATCTAGTATCCCTCTGTACCAGCAAAATGCCACTTAATATATGTCCTATTTGAAGCCTAAAATTCAGAAAGGCAGCAATGAAGGAATTAGACATCTGAGATTTATATATTGCATGGTGCAACCAAACCCATGGCATGTCTAGGCTGCTTGTGCTCAAGCAACCTAAGGTCATCACTATGTAGTATCCCTCTGTACCAGTAAAATGCCACAATACATGTCCTATTTGAAGATTAAATTCAGAAAGGCAGCAATGAAGGAATTCGACAGGATCATCAAATGTAAGGATGTGTCACTGGAGACCACGGCCAAGATCATATACACTCTTGTATAACTAATCACCATGTATGGGTGTGAGAGTAGGTCGGTAAAGAAAGTTGAGAGGGGGAAAAATTATTCATTTGAAATGTGGTCCTGAAGGAGTGCTTTGCGAATACAGTACTCTGGACTGTCAGAAGGGCAAGCAAGTGGATCCTAGATCAAAATCAAGTCTGAACTGTCTCAGGAGGCAAATGTTAAAACTGAGCATGTGCTATCGTGGGCACATCATGAGATGGCAGCATTCTTTGGAAAAGCCAATAATTCTGAGAAAGGTAGAAGGCGGCAGGAAAAGAAAAAGACCAAATATGAGATGGATTGACTCCATAAAGGAAGTCACAGGCTTGAGTTTCCAATAGTTGAGCAGAACTGTTGAGGACAGGACATTCTGGAGAACACTAGTTTATAGGGTCGCCGTAAGTCACAGGCAATTAGACAGCACATAACAACATCATCTTTTCTGCCAATTGGCGTTAATGATAACTGTTGTCATGTCCGTCAAGTTTCATCGAACTTGTAGTGACCTTAGGAAGAATTTCAAGGCATGTAAAATATTTAAGGAGGGGTTCTACCAGTGCTATCCTCCACTGACGTTTCATGGCCAAATGTGGATTTGAACTTGGATCACCTGAACCCTAGTCTATTACTCTATCCACTTCACCAGACTGACTCTCTAGGAAGAATTAAAACCTAGGAAACAGATTCTTCTGAGAATGCCACAGATAGACAGAAATCCTAGTTAGGAATTTTACAAAGGTGGTACTAACCCTACCTCTCTGTACTAGCTCTCAGTATATGTACAGCTACATTTATTTAAACAGGAGAGATGTCCATACCCATGGAGCACCTCCATACAACCAGGGGCCTTGATTTCTCAGAATATCTGATTACATGGAAATTCTCCACCAACACAGATCACTCTTCTATTCAGATTTAAGTTTAGGCATAAAGACGGGATGAAACACAGCGAAGTTAGCACACCCCTTCCTTTTAATGTTTACATTAATCACTTTTCAAAGTACCTCAACAGAACTAGGGCAGCATTCCAATGTATCAAGAGGGAGCATTGTTTGATAAACTATGTCAGAAAAATTCTGTTTCCTTAAACAAAAAGAGCTAGAAACCATAATTTATTTATTTATTTATTTTTATTTATTTATTTTATTTATATCCCGCCTATCTGGTCGGTTAAGACCACTTTAGGCGGCTAACAGCATAAAATAGTTAAAAATTTTTAAATAGAAGAAACCTTAGGAGAGGGAGGAAACAATAGGAAAGGGAGAGGAGAGGGCATCAGGAATTGTCTGGAGGGAATATGTTTTAATTACATATATACACAAAGTTTCAGACTGTTAGCAAATTCAAATATTTCAGTAAATCTAGATTTGCATTTTTCTTGTTAAGACAACAGTATAGCTAAGCACAGGTATGATAATGCTTTACTGAAGTATCTATCTGTACTACTTTGGAGGAGAGAAAAAATAGAACTAGGAGCTACTGATAACTTTAGTAAACAATACCTGCTAGGCAAACCATGCCTCCTTCTTTTCAGTGAATATTTTTGTGATTGGCTGCAAAAGGAAAAGGCATAACACCCTAGAATTGTCTTTTCAGCTTCCCAACTGCATTGACAGCTGCATTTCCATGTGTGCTGTTATATTCTACATCTTACTGACTGGCATGTATTGATGTTCAATCCCATACTAAAATTAAAATCTGTATATAATTTGAGTGAGGACAAATGTATGCTCTGTACATTGTCATCAGTATAATAATACATTTTAGTTTTGAGATGTCAGTAGCCTCTACAGAGTATGTATAAGTATATTAGTAAGGGATATCCATGAAGGTTTTACCAGATATTAACATGCACCACTTATTAGAAGAGATGTTTGACAAATCAAATGCCTTTATGATTCAACATCCTCCATTTGTTTACTCTGTTTTCCAGTATTCCTTTTGTACTATATTATATAACTAATCAATATATATTTTTAAAAAGAATTGACACCTAGCCACAATGATATTCCCACTGCTAATTTTAAATACCTGCATTTCTATCAACTAGCGAAGACTGAATGCACATATTTATTTATTTGTTGCATTTATATGCCGCCCATCTAGACATGGTCTACATATACTGTGGGGAGAGTGTAGAAAATAGTCCTCTGTTTTAAAGCTGTGCAGTGCAAGTCCTGAAGTACAACCAGCATGACAAGGAGCCTGACTTTGCCTATCAACCGTTAGCCAGCAACCTGAGCAAGAAAACAATCACCTGCTCAGTCTCCCTACTATGACAAAATGCATCTTATTTCTGGACAATTGTAGAATAGTCAATTGACTAGATGGGGGGGATAAAAATTCAACAACAACAACAACAACAATAATACACAATTTATGCATTCATGCAACGGGGGAGGGATGCATAAACCTGTACTGTGGAAAAGAAAAGCTATTTGAACCACCACCAAATCCACCATGAAGACACCCTTTGTAGGTCACCTGCATAAAACACTGTTGCTCTTGCATTATTTTTCCCTCCTGCAATTTTAAGCCATTCTGAAAAGGCAGAAAAGCTTAAATTGAAAAAAGGAGACACAACAGGTCTCACCGCAACCGTTCTGTAATACGGTCGGGGGGGGGGGGGCACAGCAAAGGGTCTGGTCCAGACCTGAAATAATCAGCTACTTCAAACAGCGGATGAGGAAGGAAGCAGTGAGTTTCGAAGAGCAACACCCCACGCCCCGACCGGCAACGCGGGGAGGCCCTTCGAGCCTTAATTCTTGTGTTGCACGCACACCCAGGGATCAAATCCCCCGCCCGAGTCACCGTGCTTCTGCTTCCCTACCTCCACCATGGCGAAAGCCTGCTTCGTGAACGATTCCCACCACAGCCCGCCTCGTCGTTCAGCGGAACCGCTGCAAATCTGTCGCCGGACCCAGTTCCGTTAGGGGAAAAAGGACCGCTTCCGGCGCTTACTTCTAGCGTAGAGGAAGTGACGTCACGGCATCTACGAGTGCCTGCGCGAGTCTATCGTATAGCTAGTTGGTAGCTTCTAACGCTCACTTGTATTCCAGGCGTTGGTTAGTTGTGGCGCCGAGAGTGCGCGTGGCGGGTTTCTCGTGCTATGTGTTAGTAGCAGTCACTGGTGGGAAACTTAGGGCGTATGTTATGCCCTGGGTTTCTTTTTTCGAGGAAGGGACAGCTCCCTCACTGTATTTAATTTTTACTGTTTACATTTTCATCCTGCTTTATTTCTACATTGCGACCTCAATAGTTGAAAGGAGTAGCAACTTTTATTTGTACACTTTTTCTTCACTATGGCTGCTTCAGATACGGGCTGCTTCTTCCTGTTTTGTTTGTTCCCCCCCCCCGTCCCAGTTTTTATATTGTGTTTTAATGTTACGTGCTACCTTTGGTCTTGAGCAAAATGGTTTATAAATATTTTAAATAAATATATTTATCGTGTCTCATATTTTTCTAAACTAAGAAGACATTTTTGTAAACTAAAAATCCCCCAGTTCTGTAACATTTTCTCGTGTTGGTTGTTTTACCCCTTTGATAAAATATCTTTTTAAGTACTGGAAATGTCCCTATCATTTGTAATAGTTAGCATTTTGTAAATGAACAGAGGTTTCCAGGTTGGAGTAGTTTATGCTTTCAAAGTCATGACGTATTTGGTGAGCAGGAATAAAAGAATAGGGCTGCAGGTTTTCTTGATTTCAGTAACGTGTTTTTAACGCCTGTAGAAGATGGATCATCCCCCCCCCCAAATTGGTATTATTTCTTGATTAACAAACACAGTTTTTCCTAATCTTGTTATGCAGATGTTTAAAAAGTCTGAAAGAAATCTAGGTGGGGAACTGATAGCCTCTGTAACATTTTTCTTTGTCCACAACATTTTTAAAAACATTTTCTTAACTGTTCATCTGTACCCAAGAGTTGGTACCTCAGGAAGGGACAACCCAATACATTATATGACAAAGTAGCATTCTCCATTCCATGACGATGCATATTCCACATACAATGAAAATAAAGAATTGCCCAAAAATGCTATAGAATGTGTAAGAATTATTTCATAGAATACAGCAGAGTTAACTGCATGTATAGTCTACATTTATGTTTTATTCTTCTGAGAGGAGTAACTGCAGTGACAGATTCTGGGCAGAAGAGTGCACAAGTTAGCTTCGTTAGCAACCGAGACTCAAACAGCATCAAGTAATGGAGCTTTTTTCTTTTTCTTTTACCTCTTCCCAAAAAGGAAAAAAAAAGCCCTTCATCAGGTATTTAGCAATTTTAGACTTAAGATACGGGCTTTACTGCACATAAGTGAATATAAGACTGCAGGCTTGGTTGAGGCAAAAATTCTATGCATGCTTTTCTGGAAAAAAAACTGCTATTGAATGCAGTGCACTCACTTCTGAGCAGATATATGTAGGCTCCATGACGACCATGAATCTGTCCCAAGTGATATTTGGATGACCAAGTTTCAGTAGTGTCCAGGAGTGTCTTCCCACAGTTAAAATTAGTGTGCCAAACTACACCTATTCCTAAGGTCTGATCTGGCTGTGGTGATACATACGAAGGGGTGCTGATAAGTATTGAGCCTTTCCCAGAAAAAAAATGAGCTAGGAAGCTATAAATACCACATTATTCTACATATTTCCCCAGAAAGTCCATGCACTTGTGACATCTGTCCTGCAGCTTCTTAAGTCCCTGCAAATAAAATTCTTCCGACTGCTGGTGTAACCACTCATTTGCAGCATTGGTTGCCTCCAGAACACTGCAAAATCGTTGTCCCTTTAGGTGTTTTTTGAGTTTGGGGAACAGATAATAGTCACAAGGAGCCAGGTCGGGAGAATAGGGTGGATGGGGCATCCCTTGAAAGCCTAAGGAGGTCAGTTTTGCTATTGTTTCACCTGCAGTGTGTGACGAGGCGCTGTCATGCAACAGGATGACACCTTTGGAGAGCTTTCCTTGATGTTTTTCTTTGATGTTTTGCCTCAACTTCATCAATAAAGCACAGTAATATTTTGCATTGATGGTTGAACTCTGTTGGAGGTAGTCCACCATCAGAACTCCCTTCTTATCCCCAAAAACTGTTGCCATTTGCTTCTGCACTGACCTTTGCACTCGGAACTTCTTTGGCCTGAGGGAACTACTCTGCCTCCTTTCCTTAGACTGTTCCTTTGTCTCAGGATCATAAAAGTATATCCATGTCTCATCACCAGTTAACACTTTGCCCAGGAAACCACACATTTCCTGCAAAATGTTCCAAAACAGCCACCAATGACTCCACATGTTTCCTCTTTTGTTTGGTTGTCAAAAGTTTGGGGATCCACTTTGCTGCCAGCTTTCTCATTTCCAAGTTGTTGTGGATAATGGCATCAACTCTCCCATGTGATATTCTCAGATATATAGCAATACTTTTGGCTGGTACGTGGCAGTCCTCCATGATCATGTCATGGATGGCTTTCACATTTGCAGGCACAGAGACAGAAACAGGCCTTCCACTGGGTTTCTCACTTTCAACACCAAAATGGCCAATTTTAAGATTGACAACCCAGTGTTTAACTATTGCATATGAAGGGCCACTGTCACCCATAGTTTGTGGCATTTCATCATGGATCTGCTTTGTACCTTTCTCTTGGAGAAACAGGAACTTGATTATGGTCCTATGCTCTTTCACATTGAACTTTTCTGGAGGTGCTGCCATGTTCACTTTGGACCTGAACATGAAAGATAAGTTAAAATCATAGGTAGTTGATTTTTGCACCATTGAATACAGGCAAATTGGCCAATACACCCTGCAATTTATAGCTTCCTAGCTCAATTTTTTTTCTGGGAAAGGCTCAATACTTATCAGGACCCCCTCGTACTTAAGTAACATCCTGGCTGGATTACTGTACTGTAATGTGCTCTACATGGGCCTGCCTTTTGAAAGTGTTCAGAAACTTCAACTGAGGCTGGTTACAAGGATCACTTAAGACCCCAGTTACAGCAGCTCCACTGGTTGATGATCTGTTTCTGGGCACAATTCAAAGTGCTGGTTTTAACCTATAAAGCCCTAAACAGTTTGGGTCCAAGTTTTCTCAAAGATTGCATCTCTCTTTATGAGCCTGCCCCGGTGGTAAGATAATTTGGGGAGGGGGGATTTCAGTCCCACCACCCCTACAGATGTGTTTGGTGGGTAATGGGAGAAAGCCTTCTCTGTCGCTACTCCCAGACTCTGGAACTTCCTCCCATGGAAGGCCAGAGTGACCCCATCTTTGCTGTTCTTCCCCAAGCAGATGAAGAGCTTTCTTTTCAGGCAAGTGTTTTCTTAGTGACTAGATAGGTTTTAAGATGAGATGGTTTGTATTTTTGTTGTTTTTAAATCTGAATAATGCTTTTACTTAACATTTAAAAGGCAATGTTTAATTATTTTTAAATATTTGAATAATTTACTATTTTAACTTTTAATATTGTGGGTTTTTTATTATATAAGCCATCTTGGGTCTTTTTTTTTTTAGGAGAAAGGCGGAGTAAAATGATTTTAAACAACAATAAAAATACAGCTAGAAATTGTTAGCAACAACATTCCTTTTATCAGAGCTTTTAAAAATAAACAGATTGGGTCAAATAATGTTTTCTTCGATAAATTTCTAGGGTCCTTATTTAATATCAGATGCAAACAATATTTTGTTCATTGTTCATTTATGAATTATATAAAGCTTGTGGTTTTGGAAATGGTTTTGTGAGTTTTTTTACCAATTAGATTGTATCTCCAGATTCATCTTGTTGCCAAATTACATTGGCTAGTACTGTATAAATAAAAGGCAGGAAGGATCCCACACATTAATCGTTAGCAACATTCTTGCTTCCAGAATGTACTGGATATAGTGGATTACGAGAAGCCCGTGCCATGTGTTTGTTGCCTTGAGAGGGCCATTTGATAGATCAGAAAGACTGTGTTTACTGTTATTTTAAAAGTCATTGAAGGCTTGCAACATTGTTTCTGTAAATAGGATATCCCTGTATAAACCAAGTAGAAGACTTCCAGGATCAGATGGCATATCTGTGGCCTAGAAGTTCTGCTCCTGGAGACCTGCACATAAACCTATGTTTGAAGAGGGAGTCACTAACCAGTGGCCTTGACTTATCTTAACAGATCAGGGTATTTCACCATTGAACAAACTAACAAGGCAAACAAGGCAAGTTAATGTCTCTGTTTTCCACTAGCCGAATAAATGGATAAAGCATACATTGCCAGTATTTGTGTTTTTGCCAGAATTTCTCCACCTCCACTTTTGTTTATTTAAAGGGGTCTGCTCTGATCATGAAAATACAATGAGTTCAATTGCAGTGGTGCTGGTTTTCCTGGCAAAAAAAGAAACATAAATCATGAAATTAGGTGCCTAGTCATAACAGCTTAAAGAAGTCCTGATCTTCCCATGTCATCTGTCTGTATAATCTGAACATCATAGACTCTCCCCCCCCCAAAAAAAAACAATCTTCTTGGTTGCCCTAAAACCTAGTGTATTTCCATCCCTGGATAATCAAAGTTTAAGCCAAATAATTTTCAGAAAGCGCTATGCTATGTTAACAGAGGCTTAGGCCTTGATTTGCACTTGTGTATAATATACAGTATACTGTTTTTCATATTTGTATGTTTGATTTTGCTAGGTTTCTAGGGTACTATCATTTGATACTCCATACTCCTGAAATGAGATGGGGCAAAAGCTACTAAAAATAAAGAACAGATAAATCAAAGATGTTCAGGAACAGCTATTTCAAGGACTGAACCTCAAGTAATACCATATCTTGCATGTACTGTACGTAACATTGTCAAAATAATTCTAAGGCCTATCACTACACATTAGTCCCTATTGGCTCCATTGCACGCCAAGATCTCCCATTATTATGGCAGACACGCTAGCATTCCTCCACGTACCCTGGGAATCTCCAGATTTCCAACTGCTACTTCTCATGCTTTAGTGGAAAGTTGGAACAGGGTTCTTTCACATTCTGCAATAGTCTTGGGAGATAAGAGGTGCTGAACAGAGACCTCAAGGATTCTGGAGTATCAATGGAAGTCTCCCCCTGCAGCACTTTGGATCCAACCTTTGTTACCATGCTTGCAAAATCATCATTTTTGATAAGAGATAGCATACAACCGCATGTGCAGGTCAGATAACATAGGAATGTGTCCTCTTTAAGCTCGGTTACAATAAATGGAAGTGGCACACAGGTAGTGGGATTTATGCAGAAGAATTTCTTGAAAAGCTTTAATCATAGCCCAAAACCTAACTCCCATTCTATGTTCTTTATGCCTAAAAGATTGAGCTTTCTGTTCTTTATGTGTATGAGAGCATTGCACAATTTAAAATTATGGGTACTTCTTTATGTGTATGAGAACACTGCACAATTTAAAATTATGGGTATGTATGAAATATAGGTAAAATAAAAAATGTTAAGATTATTAGACTATTTTTGATAAGTTTAAAGGTAGGGCTATCATGTTACCTATCTTTATAAGTCACTTTAAAATATATTTTTGTTGAAAGGTGGAGTGTAAGAAACAGCTTAAATGAATGTATTAATAAGCATGAATGCTCATTAGTATCTCCTATGAATGCCAACTGTTTTCTGCTCTAAATTTAAGATGGTTCATCCAAAATGTGCCTTTCATTGCATAAACATTTATTGCTGGGATTAGGATGAAACATCAACATCATTATCTTAATAATGTGTCTACATAAGACACTTAAAATGTGTCTACATAAGACACTTAAATGAGCAATTTACATACATGGAAATGTATTACCATAATACTTTGAATGAATGTTGCTACTAAAATGGATTTAGTTGTGCTAAGAGTAGACCCATTAAAAACAACAACAACACTGAGAGAGATCAGTCACATCCAAGTTATGTTCCAGTGATTTTGCTGAGTCTTGATATATTATGTGGCTTCTGAGCCTTTTGGCTAAGACCAAGTGAGGTCTTATTAAGTCTGATTTCAACTCCTCAACAGCAGAATCCAATACATATCTACTGAAGTAAAACTCAGTATGCTCACTTCTAGATAAATAGGAAGTACAACTCAAATATGAGTTCTGACAATATTGGATACCATGTCACTGCCTAGGCAGCCAAAATTATCAAGAAATTGGGCTATAAGGAAAGGTCAGAGAATTTTCAAGTTTTTGGTCTAGAAAATAGACAGCTGTCATCATTCATATCAGAAGCAAGCTTGTGGTGCTTCAGGAGTACAAGGCTTGGCTAACAAATCTGCCATTGCCCAGGGATGCTGAGATGTGTTCCCAGTTCTCATGTTCTTCCAGGTTCGTTCTCTAGAACACTGGTTCTTAACCTTGGGTTACTCAGGAGTTTTGGACTGCAACTCCCAGAAGCCTTCACCACCAACTGTGCTGGCTGGGGTTTCTGGGAGTTGCAGTTCAAAAACATCCGAGTAACAAAGGTTAAGAACCACTGCTCTAGAATATAGGGGATCAACATAGACCAGGTTACATGACCTTTATTAAATTATGTATTGTGTGAATATGATAGATTTCTTTGAGTACAAAGTTTGATACCTTTTTTTAACTTTACAATAGAAACTTGCTTTCCCAAATTTTCAACTTCTCATACGACTCATTAGATTCAAGAGACATAAGTAAAAGTACAAAACATGCATAATTTCCCTGTATAATTCACTACTGTAAGATCCAGTGTGGTAGCCATCATATTTGAAGATTTTTAAATGAGTTCAGACCAGTTAATAGAGGATATGAATGCCTATTAACAATAAGATTTAGCTACAACTTCCATCTTCAGAGACAGTCCACTGCTGTACACCTACTGCTATGGTCAGTATCAAGCAAGAACGATTCCTGACATGTTCTGCTGTTTGGTTGGCTGGTGCAGGAAATAGGATGCTAGTCTTATGGCAGAAACAGACATTAGAGATACAGTAGTCAATGACTAGAAGCAGCAGCCACTGAAGCCACCTTAAGCATGGGATTCCTCTGAAGTCTGATTTCTCAAACATGAACATCTCACCAGCTTCAGTTTTAATCACAGGTCTAACAATGGATCTCTGATGTCATCTAGCCAGATCTCTCTTTTTTTTGATACTATGGATGGAAGGACATATGTGGCTGTAGCTGATCCTATAAAATGTGAGAATACCAACCAGAGGGCTTTATTATTAATATAGTTTAATATTTGGTAATATCTTTTAAAGGTACCCAGTGGGGTATAGTGGATAGACTGATGGTCTAGGACTCAGGAAGCCTGGATTTCAAACCACATTCACCCATGAAAGCTTACTGGGAGAGTGGAACTGGTGAAGCCACTTCTTAAATGTTCTCACTTACCCTGAAAACCCTATTAGGATCACTTTATATATAAACATAAAGGACAGTTTCTAGACTGCTTCTTTTTATTCTCTTGGACAAAAATCAAGTACTTTTTAAAAAAAGCACAGATGTAAAGATGTCTCAAAAGGCAATGAAAATAACCACAGCTCTGTCAATGGTCTTGGATTGTGAGCAGGACAAAGAAAAGCGCAAATGTTTTCTCCTCCAGCCAAAAAACCCTGCTCTTGAAGAAGACAGTGCCGTGGTCTCTATCATACAAGAAAGTTGTTCATGTGCAGGAAACAAACTTGTACACACAGATCTGTACAAGTTACTTGCCTTGAGCAAGAAGTCAGATTTGCAGACCTTTTGCATGATGAAACTTATAAATCCAGTTTATATCCCACATCACCCCCTACTACTGGTATCAAACCTAAAGCAGAACAAATACTATTAAAGCATTGAAATAAATGGGACTAATTAACCTACTTGTGGCTAACAAGTCCCACTCTTTTCAATGGATCTAACTCCTCACACATAGCTGTGAAGCAAACAGGTTGAGACTGGAGAAGTTAAGGGGTGGGAGGCGAAATGGAAACCAAGCCCGTAAAGAGGAAAAAACCTTTGTTATACTTAACTTATTAAAGACGGTTTGCTAGTCTGCTTTGTACATTTGCATCCTGACTACTGCAATGTTTTGAATCCCATCTATTTAATTTCCGTAAATGAGCTGGATTCTTTTTGAACAAATCTACTTTTTCTTCCTCCAAAGGTAACACATAGCAAGTGAGGTTGCTCAACTGGTGACTTTGTCCGGACACGAAAAAGAACAATACTGTTAAATATTAACAGAGAGATGACAGCTAGACCTATCATTAACAAGCTGATACACTTCGCTGTGCTTCATTTATATATCTGATCACTGATTTTGCTTTCTTGGAGTCATACAGCGCAGAAACACTGCTAAAATGTCCAGGCAAATGACTATCAAGAAACTACTGTTCCTCTTTCTTCTTTCCGTGCTGATAGTTAAATCCAAGACTATTTCGGACTATGATGAGGAGGTCAGAATGTCTATTGTTGTAATCATGTGTTCTTTTTTCATTTTAACTTTCAAAAACATAGAGACAAAAGAGAATATGGTTATATTTAAGGAAATCATAATGTGCGACATAAACAAGTTAGACAAAAATGCTGTTTGCATTTTTTAATATGCGTATATGTATTCTCATTTTTTTCTTTTCTCCTTTTCTTCTCTATAGGAATCCACCGTTGCACCACTGGTAAGACAAAATTTTCTTTTTGATTAAAGAATCATAGAAACTGCAGATGGTTTATTTGCTATAACTGACTGCTTCCCAGAAATTAAATAAATACTTGTTACTAATTTATTATCAGTCAAGTATCTGTACAGAAATGCTTATGGACAGTTATAAGAAAAGCTTACGTAGTTGTGTGTTCAATAAACTTTATCAGTGCTTCTCAAAAATAAGCCAAAGGGGCAAAAATTTACTGGTCCTAGCAAAGCCATAAATATTAATACAGGTAATAATATGCTTGTATTAATTTGTTAAATTTAAAACACCAGTCTTTAAAATGTAAAATAACAAGCATATATGTTTAGAAATGTTTTTATTTTCCGCACTGGAGAGGGTGTGGGGACAAATCAATCTATGTCTTGATAATGCACACTAACAGAAGCATTGAGTTAAGAATAAGTTCTAAATTAATGTGGCAGTAGACCTCAAAGTTAAATATTTAAATAAATGAATTAATCGAAATCTGCTGTCATATGAAAAACGTATTCGTGATTAGCAGTTTCATTATTTAATTCCTTAAAACTCATGTAATTAATCAACAAAAGAATCTCCCTTTTCTGATTAATTGCATTGTTGTTATCTTATGAAAGTGATTCAAATATAATTTTTTCTTAGAGCTAGGAAGAGTTCCAATTAAAATCTGATTTCTTGATAATCCTCATCACAAGTTCATCAACCCTACTATATATACAGTTTTTTGGGCTGCACTCCTATGCATACTTCAATGGCAGTAAATCCTATTAAACTCAGTAGGGCTTACTTCTATGTAGACTTACCAAAGTCCACTACTAATATTTAAAATACCTCACATGCTTCCCTTCCTTTGGCTGTCTTTTAGATCATGCAACATTAGATTATTATGCTTCCCCATTTTATAGTCGGAAACTAAAGTTACCTGTGATGACTGAACTCAGATGTTCTTATTCAAAAATTTGAATACTGTATCTGTCCTGAGCAGCAAATCTTCATACCCGCAAAGTTCTTCCTTTTATTTCTCCTTTCAGTAGCTTCTTTTCTGAACCAGACATCATACTTAGTCCCCACTTTCCTTACAGAAAAATTTGCATTCAGACCCACATGATATTCAACAGAATATTAGTTAGGGGAAAATAAAAAACAGCTCTCTGCTATGATCCTTCACAAATTCCTGGGTCTTTTTCTTTCATGGATCTTATTAACTTTTTTAGGCACCTTACAGACTAACGGGCTTTATTTAGCATAGGCTCCCATAGACTGCATCCCACTGCACCAGAGGTAATGTTTATTATGCCAAATTAAACATGATCATCTTTGAGCTGTTCTAAGATTATTTGTTGTTTTCACTGCAACAATAGATTATGACAGCTATCCCTCCCCACAAATTTTTCCCCTAACTTCTTGAGGCTCAGTGGGCAAAGGGTAACCATTGGTATAGCAACGTATTGGCCAGATTCCTACTAGTTATGCCTGCTGGCATAGCTCAGTCAGCAGAAGCCGCAGTAGCAAATTGCCACAAGTGAAGAAATCAGCACGGCCATTAACGGTTATGTGCCAAGTCATGCAACAAGTCATGTTCATTTCTTAACCTAAGGCAATTTGTGACCCAGATTTATGTTGGCATCAAGGCATAATAGGATTATAGTAATTATGTTACATAAACCTGATCTTGCTTTTTTACATTGTATGGTTTGGAATTAGGGGTATTGTATGCAGATTTGTTCTTTATTTCATATGATTTTTAGGTGAGGAGCATCTCATGTTGCTATAGTTTTGTAGCATTTACTCCTGGCATCTTTTGGCATGCACAGGTAGAAAACATGTTTGTTGTGAGGCTCATAATGTTAACATATATTACTGCTGCACCAAGAAAGGTGTAGTTGAGACAAAATACAGTAGGGAGTTATGATTATGCTCAACTATCTGTTGGTCTCCAAATCACACCTGCAGTGACAAAGCTCAGTCCAAGAAACAGCGACATTGCTGCAGCATAGCTCCCATATTGGGGGAGTATTGGGGGACCAAGAAATAGAAACATCTGCTTTATTATGAAGGAATAAATGTTTGCATGTATGGAAATGGAAAAATCAAATATTATCATAATGCAGGATTTAAATATTTTACCAAGTCCCCCCCCCATATTTTCACTTTTTATGGATTCTGCCAGTAACCATATGAATTTCTTTCCCTTGTACAGGATGAAGATGGGGGAACACATGTGGATGCACGAGGTCACAGGCCACATTATAAAAAGCAGGAGCCAGCTCCCTCTCTCAGGCCAGTTCTTCCTCCTCCCAGCGGCGGCATTAGATATCGGGCTCGTCCAACAAAGCCCCCAGTTGCTGGCAAACCCAAAGAGCAAGTAGTTTTCCCTGATAGCGGAGGCTGCAAGCATATGTCAGAGGAGCTGGTAAGACAGAGAGAGAGAGAGACTAAGAGACTCTTCTGAACTGCTGTTCCCACAATTCCATAGTCAATGGCCAAGCTACTTGGGGATTCTAGGAATCGTAGTACAAAAATGTCATATTTCAAAGCTCTGTTTCTGGAGAGCTTTGTTTCAGAGCTTTGTAAAGTCTGAGACATCTCACAATCTTGAATGAGTCATTGCATGAATCTTTTATAGAAATGTTTTTATTTCTTAAAATGGTTTAAGAACTCACCTTGTTGACTCATTGTGACACAGACACCCTCTTATTTCTTCCTCCTTTTCCTATTTATCTATTATGCCTCAGCCAACTGCAAAGATCTAGTCAGACAGTCAGTCAAATTTTGTCCCCTTATCATACCCACGTATGAAGCTCATATGTGCAGAGCTAAAGGAGTAATTTCTCCATATTGTGATTCCACATCACTTGGGAACATAAGCAAATTGAGTAATCAGAGGGGCACGGTCAGTTTCCTGACTTACCCCTTTCCTATGGCCATATGGGTAAATATTTGCCATGCTGCTCCCAGTCTGTGTGAATGGAACCATTGGTCTCATTGGAGTCCATGGGACATTATGATCAAACTAAATATGACATTAATTTATGTAACTGCAATTTACATACAAATCTCTTTCATTATGAAAATTACCAGCCACAAAGGGCAGGAGACAGTACTGGGAGTGCTGGGTGGGAATGATTAGTTTAACCATTCTCCCTGTCACTATGATCCCATAAAAAATTTCACTCCACCTAAAGTAATTGGCTGTATCATAAGGGAAGTGTCCACAGGTGCCAGTGTGGGATTACCTCCCACTATAAAACCAAGTTTTAGTGGAGAGGGTTTTTAAAATCAAAATGCAACAGTGGAAGAAAAATGTTAAATTCCTGTCCCTTCCATGCAGAAACTGCAACTAGTATCATTTGCCCGGCACTTGCTATTTGCATGTATTTAAAATGAGCCCATTGGTCTAGATGGGCAGTATAAAAATCTAATAAATAAATAAATTAATTAAAGGCACCACATATTTAACATAATGTCTAGCTTGGCCACATCCCTACTACATTCATGATGTGGTTGTTGTTTTTCAGGGTGTATTATGTCCAACTGGATGTGAACTTCGAACTGAAGTGTTAAAACAGGCAAAGACAGTGAAACCGACTGTTCGGGATTTAAAAGACAAAGTAAGGAAGCTAGAGCAATCTACTTCAAACATTTTTAGCTACACCAATATCCTGGATGAGCGCTTAGCGAAAAGACAGAAACAAATAAGAGGTAAGCCATATAGTCTTTGCTTATTATGATACCAGTAGACCATATTATAGGCAGTTCAGTTTATACTGTACAGTGTTATTTTGAAAACCTTCTTCAAAAATTTGAAATACAGAAGGACTTGCATATCCGTGGGAGATTTGTTCCAAGCTCTCCCCATGGATGCTGAAAACTGCGGGTAATAGCAAACCCTCTACGTACTATAATAAAAGGGGGGGGGGGCAGAAAAAAAATCCAAAAATTTGAAATACTGTTCCAAGCCCCCCCCCATGGATGCTGAAAACAGCAGGTAATAGCAAACCATCTACGTACTATGATAAAAGGGGGGGGGGAACCAGAAAAAAAATTTACATGCATTACCAGAACTACTAATAGAGGGTGCCAGAGACTATGAACAAGAATTCATAGTACAGCCTCTGGCTCCCTCTAGTGGACAGTTCTGGTAATACATGTGAAAATAATTTTATCTGGATTTTTTCTTTTAATATTTTTATTATTTTCAGACTGCAGATAAGTGAAACCGTGGATAGTGATCCTGTGGATACAGAGGTCCTACTGTATACTAAAAGCTGTGAAGTGTATCAGACAAACTAAGAAAGGTTTATGTGATGGGGCTGCAGAATGTTCCTCAGTTCCCTCATGTGAGACCTTATAGCTTCCCATATGTGTTCATGAAAATCTGCTCTTTCCACAGCATTCACAGTCTTTTAGCCTTGTGGAGAAACCATTTTCCTTTCCATAATTTCCCTGTTTGCATAACATACCTGATATATATCTGTAGCAGTTCTACACAGAGCAGACTGACTGCTTCTTAATGCACCTGATTTGTGACTCAACCGATGCTAGATGTGCTACCATTTGGCACTGCTTTGTCATGGCATGACACCAGGTGCATTCTACTGTCTTCTATTGTTCTTTGCCTTTTAAAGCATGTTGTATCTTTTCCTGTTCCTTTAGCTCTGCTGATTTTTATTGTTCATTGCCCATTCTCCAGAAACTTTCTTTTAAAAAAAAACCCTTACCCCACAGTTTATCTTAATTTGTTTTATGATGTCATTAAATATTTACAGTAATTAATTTTTTAAATTTTTTGTGTGTTGCCCAGAGAGTGTCCGGTTATAGGGCAGCCTATGTATACTTTTTATGGGTACACAATCTGATGTAGTGGATAGAGTAAGGAACCAGAGCTCAAGAGACCTGGGTTCAGTTCCCTGGCTGTGCCATGAAAATCTCACTGGGGTGTGGAACTGTTAAAACCACTCCTTAAATATCCTGTTTGCCTTCAGCACCCTATTAGGGTTGCTGTAAGTTAGTGCTGACTTGATGGCACATAACAACAAACAAACTATGGGTAATTCTACACAAAACACAAGGTATATTTGTATGACACAGGGAAAAAATGTTAAGGTACTTACATGTGATTTCTTTTACTTCATTGTGGTTAGTAGAGAAAAAAAACATTTTAAAATTAAATATATATTCTACTGAATGTTGCCTTTGCTTTAGAGTTGCTGATGTAGGAAACACAAGAAAAGCAATAAAATCTTGCGTAAGTTACCCAGTAGTAGCTACTGCTTATTACATTCAGTAGCCGAAATCTATCTATGTAACTTACACTATGTTAGGCTGATGATGTCATCAGCCGTGATGTTTTCTTGGAAATAAAACCTGTCTAATCTCCCTCACCAAAGATCCCAAGGTTTCCTTGGGATCTCTTTTGTTGTGTGGAAATCATTGGGGGCCATGAGATGGCCATGACATTCCAAAACACTGTCATCATCCCTTTCTTGGAAACTAAAGATGAAAAAGATTCCAAGGGAGCTGCAGGACCTTGATGGAGGGAAACTGGAAATTTTTGATTTCTGAAAAACTGCCACAGCTGGTGATGTCATCAGCCTTCTGCAGCATAAGTTACATTGCTAGATTCCAGCCAATGAATCTTACTCCTGGGTAAGTGTACATAGAATTTCAGGCACTGCAGTTTTATACAGACTTATTTCAAAGTGGCCTTAACTGGAAGCAATGGGTCTTAATTCTGAACATGCTTGTTTTGGGGTTGTACTGTATCTGGTTGTCAAAATTGGTGGTCGTAGTTACTGATGTGCCAGTTTAGTTGCCTTAGCTGGTTCTCGGGCTGATGGAGGGATAATGGTTCCTGCCTTGTGTACTGGACCAAGAAGGCAAATGGGGTGGTTTATAAACCAGATGAGCCTTTATGATAAACTTTACTGTATGTATAATGGCATTTTTGTGCATGGCATTTTGCCCAGACTTAATGGCTGCGTCCTTGTCCCAAGAGGTTTATGAACTAGAGACAGACGCAAGGGACACAGCAGGAGAATGGGAGGGAAACTGAGGTAGGCATAAGTCTACTATCCTATTAGATAAGAACCTACTTATGTGGATTTCCCCTTTTCAGATAATCAGAATGTAATTTCTCAGTACAACAAGGAGGTTGAGGAGCACTACGCCTTCATCAAAGAAAACTTGGATAGCAACATCCCAAGTAACTTGAAAGTGTTTCGTGGAATTGTGGATATTTTGCACCAAAAACTACTGAAACTGGAAAATGCTATCACAACCCAGTTGGAAAATTGCCGCAGTCCTTGTACAGTTTCATGCAATGTCCCAGTGGTGTCTGGCAAAGGTAAAGTCTCACTCTCTCTTTTCTCTTTATGGAGTGGACAGCTGCACAGGCAGTTCTGAAAAGGCTCTTATGCCAAAGTCTCAATGCCCTTGTCCAGTGGTTTATATGAACACTGCACCTTTTGCAACAATATCCACTCACAGTCACAGCTGCGGTGTCTGAGTTCAAGTGGGCTGCAATGTAGACTCAGCCTCATGCTTCCTCAGCTTCCTATCAACTAATAATTCAAGGGTCTAGGATACGTTTGAAGAATGTTTTCCCTTGTCAAAGTCTGCATTTCATGAGAGGTAAACTCCTGGGTACCACATGTTCTTGGCAGTCAAATGTGGAGCCAGTGGGTAGGGCTGGAACCAGGTGTGGTTGTGGCTACCTCCCCCATCTCCCTCTCTCCACTAGCTCATTTTTTCTCTTTCTAAAACCCTCTTCCTCTTCTTTGGGTCAAACTATACATCAGTGATTCCATATTCCCTGCTATTAGTGCCTTTTCTTTCTAGGAAAAGGATTTCCATAGAACTGTATGCTTCAGCAATCAGACATGTAAACGAAGCCTGTGTTTACATTCCAATAACCAATCACAAAACAAAGCATGCTGAATTACAAGATATAGAGGCAAGAGAAAAGCTTGTGCTAGGCAAGCCAACCTCTTTCATTAGTTAAGGAGCACATGATGCTAAGCATGTTGTTTAGTTTGACTCGCTCTTTCTTTTTCCCTGTCCCTCTCTCTTTCTTCCTGCTGAAATAGGGGCAGATCACCGAAACAACTGAGCTGATTACTTCCAGAGGGCTTATGAAATTGTTGCGTGCTGTGCTGGCATTTCAGTTTGGTCACCTCTGGTCTAAGGCAATCAGGCCTTTTGTTCCTTTATCTCCTACTGATAAATCTAATTAAAACTTATAGTTATCTCTGCTCAAGTACCCTGTCAGGGAATCTTTTATATCAACCACATTGACTTAAAAATAATTTCCAGATTATTAATATGATTCCCTAAAGCACTGATAACTCCATAAAGTATGGGCCCCAGAGATTAGCACAATTTGAAAGTGGGACATGTTCAAAATAATATAGATTACTCAGTACTCAGATTGATTCTTTAGATTAAAACTAAATGCAGTCAACATTCATATCAGGTCCATAGTAAGCTAATTTTTTCCCTATTTGTTACTACTTGTATTTACTAAATAACATGTAGAATGGATTTCTCATTGCAGAGTGTGAAGACATAATTAGGAAAGGAGGAGATAAATCTGAGCTGTACCTTGTTCAACCTGATCCTTTTGCCAAGCCGTTCAAAGTTTATTGTGACATGACCACCGATAATGGAGGTAAAGGTTTATATTAGGATTGGTGCCATCAGAGGAATTCTTGGGCACCTGTTGAAAATAACATATGCTAATATATTTAATTAAAAAACCTATGGGATACTAGTAGTTCATCACATGCTACCATTATATATTGATGTCTCCCCCTGACTTTCACAGGCTGGCTTCTTATTCAGAACCGCCAGGATGGAAGTGTTAACTTTGGAAGAACATGGGATGCATACAAAAAAGGATTTGGAAACACTGCATTCAGTGGTGGAAAGAATTATTGTGACACTCCTGGTAAGCAATTTGTTCTGAAAAACAGTAATTAATAAGCAAAGGGCATCCAGAATGTTGACAACACCAATGTCAGCAATCAAGATGGTCTACATGATACCTTCTTGTGCGCATTGCCATTTGCAAAGTGACACCATGCAAAGGAAACTCCCAGAAACTGACTCCTTTTTTCATCAGTTAACCACTTCTCAAGCAAACACAAAGCTATTGTCAGGGCTGTTTTTCAACATGATTGCAAAAATGTTTACATTTAGAATGTTTAGAATGTTTATGCTGATAAGAAAGTCAGAAACTGAGAAATTTTTGCTTCTCTTTTTTTTTTTCAAAATCGGTATTACATCTCTTCGAAGCCTGAATTCCTTCCAAATAAAAAGGAGCTGGGACTTACTATTCTTTTTTAAATGTAAATAAGTTTGGTATTTTCAATGTCTTTGATCTGCATTACTATTTGCAAAGTGACACCATGCAAAGGAAACTCCCAGAAACTGACTCCTTTTTTCATCAGTTAACCACTTCTCAGCCAAACACAAAGCTGTTTTTCAACAAGATTGCAAAAATGTTTACATTTAGAATGTTTAGAATGTTTGTGCTGATAAGAAAGTCAGAAACTGAGAAAATTTTGCTTCTCAATTTTTTTTTCAAAATCAGTATTACATCTCCTTGAAGCCTGGATTCCTTCCAAATAAAAAAGGGGCTGGGACTTACTATTCTTTTTAAATGTAAATAAGTTTGGTATTTTCAATGTCTTTGATCTGTTTTAAATCAGCAGACAGAAAAGGTTGCCAATGTCTGCACGGGGAGGAGAAACAGTTTTGCTTTTAAAAAATCAGAACTCGAAAACTGTTTGCCAGACACCCCCAAATTTGTCACAGAGCAAGACCAGACTGTCTGCTACATCTGTGCCAAATTTGGTGCTGATCCAAGGTCCAATTTCAAAGTTAAAGGTTTTTATTGGAGTACCCTTATTTTTTGAGTTGCCTTATGGAATGCTGAATTGTGTTGTTGCACAATATCTATTGCACACTGTCGTGCAATAATAGTAACACAGCAAGCAGCATATTTCATGTCACGCATAATTGAGTGCTAATTGGTGTTGAGATTCTGGAGTGCCCTATTGTCAAACAGGCCTCTGTGGGAATACAAGAAGTTGCCTTAGACGTTAGTCTAAATGATGTTGAAGAATGTAAGCAAAGTTTCATAAGTTTCAATCCTTTCCTTGCCAGTAAATAAACAAACCACTGCTGTGGTTCTCAGTGGTGCATATGCACACACCAAGCCAGTATGGTTGCCACTGCTCTGTTTACCAGATTTCTGTTTACTAGTGAGAAATGGATTAAAAAGTATGGATTTGCTTACATTATACAACAAAATTTTGGCCATTAGATCAGACTATTGGACAGTGGTTGCATATATTCTACTCTGACTGGTAACATCTTTCCAGGATTTCCTGCAGTTCTCTTTTCTAACCTTATTTGGAGTTCCTTGCTGATCTCCTGTCAGTGTGGTAAAGAGGGCTCATCTTTTGAAATCAGACAAGGGTAGATGTTTTCAGGGTAGAATAGTAGACTGTTATGGTGGTGCTGTGGGCTAAACCGCAGAAGCCTTTGTGTGCTGCAGGATCAGAAGGCCAGCGGTTGTAAGACTGAATCCACCTGACGGAGTGAGCTCCCGTCGCTTTGTCCCAGCTCCTCGCCAACCTAGCAGTTCAAACGCATGTATAGATCAGACTGTTGGACAATGGTTGCATATATTCTACTCTGACTAGTAACATCTTTCCAGGATTTCCTGCAGTTCTCTTTTCTAACCTTATTTGGAGTTCCTTGCTGATCTCCTGTCAGTGTGGTAAACAGGGCTCATCTTTTGAAATCAGACAAGGGTAGATGTTTTCAGGGTAGAATAGTAGACTGTTATGGTGGTGCTGTGGGCTAAACCGCAGAAGCCTTTGTGTGCTGCAGGATCAGAAGGCCAGCAGTTGTAAGATTGAACAGAATAGTAGACTGCTATATTTTCTAAAAAATCAGGCGGTTTCTCTCCATCATTCCAGATCATTAATTTTTCTTAAATGTTGAATGGCTAGTGAGGTAAAAAATCAGGCAGTTTCGATCATTCCAGATCATTCTGCTATAACATTATTTTTTCTTAAATGTTGAATGGCTAGTGAGGGTGGAAAAGTGGAGGCAAATACTCATAAACATACTAATAGATTTTGGAATTGTTATAGACCTAGGCCCAAATAGCAGGTATTTCTTAAAACTCCTTATGAAATTAGTGTTGTAATAGTTTCATTTGCTCTATGTTACAGGTGAATATTGGCTTGGAAATGATAAAATCAGCCAGCTTACCAAACTGGGACCCACAGAGCTTCTAATTGAACTGGAAGATTGGGATGGTGCTAAGGTGAACGCACATTATGGAGGATTCAGCATTCAGGGTGAAGCAAACAAGTACCAGCTCTCACTTAGCAACTATAGAGGCACAGCTGGCAACGCTTTGCTAGAAGGAGCTTCACAATTGCTAGGAGAGAACAGAACAATGACAATCCATAACAGCATGTTCTTCAGCACATTCGACAGAGACAATGACGGATGGTACGTGCACACATTTGTATTCTGCTACTGCACTTTGCCTCAAACATTTGAGACATTTGATTCTGTGGGTATAGGTGAATCATTCACTGGGAAACTCTTGAGCGATTGTTGAAAAAAAAATTGGTGGCATGGAGGACTATGGCAATGACAATCCATAACAGCATGTTCTTCAGCACATTCGACAGAGACAATGACGGATGGTACGTGCACACATTTGTATTCTGCTACTGCACTTTGCCTCAAACATTTGAGACATTTGATTCTGTGGGTATAGGTGAATCATTCACTGGGAAACTCTTGAGCGATTGTTGAAAAAAAAATTGGTGGCATGGAGGACTATGGTGAAGAGGGGCCTTTCCTCAAACATTTGAGACATTTGATTCTTTGGGTACAGGTGGATCATTCACTGGGAAACTCTTGAGTGATTTTTGGGAAAAAAATTGGTGGCATGGAGGACTATGGTGAAGAGGAGCAGAAAGTTCCACCGTGCTAGAGTTTTGCTGGATGTAATCCATTGCACTCTGAAGCTAATGCATTAAGAGATCTTCCAGTAGAGAAATGGTTCCCAATCTTGGGTAACCCAGGTGTTTGGACTGCAGTTCCCAGAAGCCTTCACCCAGAAGCTGCACTGGCTAGGGTTTCTGGGTGTTCCAGTTCAAGAACATCTGGGTTACCCAAAGTTGGGAACCACTGCTGTAGAGCAGTGGTCCCCAACCTTGGGCCTCCAGATGTTCTTGGACTGCAATTCCCAGAAGCCTTCACTACCACCTCTGTTGGCCAGGATTTCTGGGAGTTGAAGTTCAAGAACACCTGGGTTACCCAAGGTTGGGGACCACTGCTGTAGAGCATTTTAAATTGAAGTTCTGTTCCTAGATACTTGTGAATAAGCTCGATTGACCTTAGGGATCAATGGAATGGGATACATGGAATTAGTTATACAACGTAGTTAGAGGCAATATTCTTTGTTTGAAGGACTGAAGGGTGACCTCCTAGCACAGAAAAGTTTATTAGTACCAGTAGCCTTGTTTAAACAAGGAACCCAGCTGTTTCTGGAATCTTAATCACATAGATTAACTGAAAGCTGTAAAGAATTTTCACAGAATATATATTTGCTCTTCCAGTAGTATGCATCCCATCCCACCTGTACCTGTTATGGGTGGCCATCCCAAGGGTTGTCCGGAAATCCATAACTAGGAGCTGGGTCTTCTCAGTGGTGGCCACCATGTTTTAGAGTTCCCTGCCAGTGGAGGTGTCACTGCCCTCTTCCCTCCTTGGCCTCAGGAAAAAAAAAGTAAAGGCTTGGATCTTTATTCTGGCTTTTCACATTCTTACCCTAGCTTAATTTTGGTCTCTGCATCTTTTTGTTGGCCCATGGTTTTATAGACTCACTGTTACGGTTTTAACTTAGTTCAGAATTGATTATATAGTTAGATTGGCAAGGTTTTTTTTTTGGTTTAATCTCTTAACTGATGTTATTATTGAATTTTAAATTTATGCTGATTTCCTGATTGTAAGCTGCTCAGAGTAGTGGTGTGGCCACTAGATGGGCGGGGTAAAAACTGAAACAAATAAAATGAAATAAATGGATATATACCTTGTCCAATATCACATGTATGTATATTTTTCCTCATAGGGCAAACCCAGATCCAAAAAGGCAGTGTTCGAGGGAAGATGGTGGTGGCTGGTGGTATAATCGCTGTCATTCGGCCAATCTAAATGGCAGATACTACTGGGGTGGACATTATACCCCAGAGATGGCAAAACATGGAACAGATGATGGGATTGTATGGATGAACTGGAAAGGGTCCTGGCGTTCACTGAAGAAAGTGAGCATGAAGATTCGACCAGTCTCTGAACAATAGCTGTTATTATTTAAATAAAGAATAGCAGGGATTGGGGTTCATGCCTCTTTCATGATACCTGAGCTTCATCTTATGATAAAAGTCAAACAACATGAACAAAAAGAAGTCTGCGATGTTACATGGCTAATAAATTGTGATTGAAAGCGATGCTATACTGGATAGGACTCTAGCAGTCCCATTAAAAGAACTTGCAAATGTCATTTGTGATGCCTTGAAGGATAAAGAGATATTCACTGCTGAAACCTTTCACCTAGCATTTACTTCTAATGCTTTGTGTTTCATTAGCATTTCCATTGAAAAGGAATAGTATGATTTTTTTTTCTCTCAGATTCTGCTGAAATTGCTTAACAGCATGCAATTAGCCCTGCTGAACTAGATCATCTTTTTATAATTTGTGGCAATTTTAATGCTAGAATGAGAAATAACTTTTGTATGATGGAAAAAGCCCTTGGCATGGAGCTCGGAGAAGATAAAAAATATCTCCCGAACTTCCCATGACAAGGTAATCAATAAGTATGGCCACTTCCTCTTTCAACTGGTTTATAATTTTATTTTATATGTCTAAATGGATCTTACCTAGATATCTCAAATGGGTATTACACGCTTTTAACTGATAAGGGTGGCAGTGTGGTAGACTATATTGTAGGATCTGTACTTCTGTATGTAGATTTTCTAACAATTGATGACAGTTTTTAGTGTGGTAGACTATATTGTCGGATCTGTGCTTCTGTACAGTATATAGATTTTCTAACAATTGATGACAGGCCAGAAAGTGACAATTTCCCCCTCAGAGTGTCCTTAAGGTGCCAACAAAATCAAGCAGGGGTATTAACAGATAATAAAATGCTGAGTCATATATCAAGCGAAAAAAGGCTTAAATGGTCTATAAAAACTGATGCTAACATAAGGCATATGTTGAGCTCTAATAAACTCCAAGAGATATGGCAACATGCTCTCCTTGGGACTCAGAACATTTGCAGAGTCTATCAGGACATAATTCAGGCACTCAAACCACATCTGACCATCACATACCCAGTAAGAATGTCAGAAATTCAATGGTCTTGGTTTGATAGAGAATGTAAGGCCAAGAAAAAAGAACTGAGCAGAGCAACAAGACAGACAAAATAGATTGGCACTGATGAAGCATTGAGCAGAGCAACAAGACGGACAAAATAGATTGGCACTGATGAAGCCACAACGCTACTGCAACATCTTCGGAGGGAGTATAAAGCCTTTCTTAGAGGGAAAAAGAAGGCTTTTTTATGTTGATAACTGGAAATCTCTGGGCCAGGCCCTCACTGAAGGTAATGAGCCCAAGTTCTTGAAACAGATAGAAAAAGGCTTCTCATAGAAACCCTTTGAAACTACCAATTCCATTAGACCAGAGGTATGGGTCTCCCACTTTAATCATATCTTTGGAGGTAGTACCTGTACTAACTTCATACACATGATCTCTTTTTTTGATAGAGTTATAGGCTTGATAGATGAAGGGAACACTGTGGATGTAGTATATCTTGATTTCAGTAAGGCCTTCGACAAAGTTCCCCATGATATTCTTGCAAGGAAGCTAATAAAATGTGGACTAGACAGTGCTACTGTTTGGTGGGTTTGCAATTGGTTGACACCAAAGGGTGCTCATCCATGGCTTCTCTTCATCCTGGAGAGAGGTACCCTGTTTCCCTGAAATTAAGACAGGGTCTTATATTAATTTTTGCTCCAAAAACGCATTAGGGCTTGTTTTCAGGGGATGCTTTTTTTTCATGTGCAATCTATGTTTATTCAAATACAGTCACACCATCTTCTTCTGGTTGCTGCACAATGGCGGAGGGTGGGCTTTCACTTAACTAGGGCTTATTTTTGGGGTAGGGCTTATATTACAAGCATCCTAAAAAAATCACACTAGGGCTTATTTTCGGGTTAGGTCTTATTAGTGGGGTGCCTTGAGGTTCTGTTCTGGGCCATGTGCTATTCAACATCTTTATCAATGACTTGGATGAAGAATTAGAGAGTATGCTGATTAAATCTGCAGATGAAAAACAAAATTGGGAGGGGGTGCTAATTCCCCAAAGGACATGATTAAAATTCAAAATTACCTTGACAGATTAGAGTCCTGGGCCAAAACTAACAAAATGAATTTCAACAGGGAGAAATGTAAGGTCCTACATCTAGGCAGAAAAAATGAACTGCACATATATAGGATGGAAAACACCTGGCTAGACAACAGTACCTGTGAAAGGGATCTAGGAGTCAGCAGTGTGATGCGGCTTCTAAGAAAGCCAATGCAATTCTTGGTTGCATCAATAGGAGTATAGTGTCTAAATCAAAGGAAGTGATAGTACCACTCTATTCTGCTTTGGGTAGACCTCACCTGGAGTACTGTGTCCAGTTCTGGGCACCTCACTTCAAGAAGGATGTTGACAATCATGTCCAGAGGAGGGTGACTAATATGGTCAAAGGTCTGGAAGCCATGTCCTATGAGGAGTGGCTTAGGGAGCTGGGAATGTTTAGCCTTACGAAAAGAAGGTTAAGAGGGGACATGATAGCCATGTTTAAATATTTGAAGGGATGTCATGTCGAGGAAGGGACAGGTTTGTTTGCCATGGCTCCAGAAACTAGGACAAAGAGTAATGGTTTTAAGCTACAGGAAAAGAAATTCCACCTGAATCTTAGGAAGAACTTCCTGACAGTAACAGCTGGTCTAGTGGACTAGGCTGCCTCAGAGCGTGGTGGAGTCTCCTTCTTTGAAGGATTTTAAGCAGAGGCTGGATAGCCATCAGTCGGGATTGCTTTGATGGAGTTCCTGCATGGCAGGGAGTTGGACCTGATGGCCCCTGTGGTCTGTTCCAGCTCTGTGATTCTATGATTCTATGACTCCCACTAATCTCCCTGAATGGCCACCTGTTTCCCCATAGAAATCGGGGACTTGATCCTAAGTCTTTGGAAAGGAAAGGCTCCCAGTGGAGACATGATCCCTGCCGAGGTCTTTGCTATTGACATTGTATGGTGGTCCCCTGTTTTAGCCAGATTATTCACCTGCATTAACAATACAGCAAATCTCTCCACAGGCTGGCAAAGCAGTATTGTTGTGCCAATTTTTAAGAAAGGTAACCCCCCTAGACCCCACCAACTTTAGATCTATCAGTCTTCTTAATGTGGCCTCCAAGCTTTATGCTAGATATCTCCTGAATAGGCTTTTAGACTGGGACAGCAAACACTCAATCATCTTTGAAGAACAGGCAGGCTTCAGGAAAGGTAGGAGTACAATAGATCAAGCCTTTGTCCTACGTCATATAATAAGCAAATACACCAAACCACCTTACAAATATTTTTATGCCACCTTCATCGATTTTTCATCAGCTTTTGACCTGATAGACAGAGATTGACTGTGGTGTAAATTGGCTAAAACTACGTAACATTGCCAGGGGACTCCTGTGGCCTATACAGCAATTACACACAGAAAATACGATGCATATTGGTCTACAAGGAGCTCTATCACATTAGATCTGTATTAGCCATGGGGTGAAACAAGGGTGCATTTTAGCACCCTTTCTTTTCAATTTCTATATAAACAGCTTGATCCCACAAATGGTTTTCCCCTCTTTTTTCTTCCCAACCATTGGCTGTAGAAAGATCTCAATGCTGCTTTAGGCCGATGACCTGGTTTTGCTATCCCTGAACAAAATTTGCCTTAAAACACTGCTATCTAAATTTGGGCAGCTCTGTAAAGAGGAACAGCTAACAATCAGCTACACTAAGACAAAGATCATGGTCTATAGGAAGAGAGGTACAATGTGTGTGAAAGGTACAATGTGCGTGAACTAGATCAATGGTCCACATAATCTAGCATTCTATTTCCAGATGTGTCCACCTATATCCCACTGGGGAGTCTACAAAAGCAAACTTTAAGCATGACTGTTCTAGTTATTTAAACTGGTGGAATTTCTTTAATCTCATACTCTTATTTTAGACCATCACAGGTTTAGGTACCCTGTTTCCCTGAAAATAAGACCTAACCGGAAAATAAGCGCTAGTATGATTTTTCAGGATGCTCATAATATAAGCCCTACACCAAAAAATAAGCCCCAGTAAAGTGAAATCCATTCTGAAGGAAATCAACCCTGAGTGCTCACTGGAATCTGAGGCTCTAATACTTTGGCCATCTGATGAGAAGAGAAGACTCCCTGGAAAAGACGCTGATGTTGGGAAAGTGTGAAGGCAGGAGGAAAAGGGGACAACAGAGGATGACGGTGTAATCGAAGCTACCAACATGAATTTGACCCAACTCTGGGAGGCATTGGAAGACAGGAGGGCCTGGCATGCTCTGGTCCTCGGGGTCACGAAAAGTCATACACAACTAAACAACAACAAAGTGAAACCCCGCCCTCCACCATTCTGCAGCAACCAGAAGAAAATGACATGATTGTATTTGAATAAATATACATTGTCGTACATTTAAAAAAATCCCCTGAAAATAAGCCCTGTCAGTGGAGGGCCAAGTTCTTCCCACCACTTGAAGTGAGAGAAGCACCACCAACATTACCTCAAATGTCCCCCGCCCACACCCTTCTATCCTCCAGTGCAGAGGTCCCCAACCCCCAGTCCATGGCCCTGTGCCGGTCCATGGCCTGAGCTGGACCCGGCCACTGAGACAGACCTCCCCACCGCACGCACTCACCCCCGCACAGCCCATTTGTGGCTGCACGTGTGCTCCAACATGCCCATGCAAGCATCGCGTCACTCTTTGTGAATGCACACGAGTGCATGCGTGCCCAGACAAGCACCATCCCGCCATTTGCACATGCACGTGACCGTATGTGTGTGTGTGAGAGAGAGGGCACTTGTTTGTGCATGTACTTGAGTGCGGGGGGTGCCCCGCCTTCCCCAGTCTTGAGTGCGGGGCGTGCCCCGCCTTCCCCAGTCGGTCCGTGGACCAAATAAGGCTGGGGATCACTGCTCTAGTGGGTATTGGGACAATTGTATGATGACTTAAGAAGACCCAGTACCCAGGTACCCCACCTTTTTTTAAAGTGGGACGCTAGAGAATACAAAATACCTTGTTCAGTAAATGGTAAAGCCCAAAAATCAGGGCTGGGGGCTGGGGTTGCAGAAGTGTGTACCGCTCTTTGCAGCCCATGGGTGGGCATAGGCAGCATCCCATAGACCAGCGATGGCAAACCTATGTCACACATGCCACAGCTGGCACACAGAGCCCTCTCTGTGGACACGTAAGCCATAAGTCGCCATCGAGAAATACGTACCCGTCCTCTGATCCTGGATTGTGACACTCTGTTGGTGCAGTGGTCCAGCGGAGGGGTGCAATGGCGAACATTACCAGTCTAGCCCAATGGGGGATTGGAGGACTGATAAGTATTTCTTTGTTAATACCACCCATAGGAAAAAACAAACAAGCGTTTAACCCTTGCAGTGCAGGAGCAGTTGTTTTTTCTAAACTAAACCTTACTATTTAGGTTTTAATTGCAGTGTTGGCACTTTGAAATAAATATGTTGATTTTGAGTTGCAGTTTAGGCACTCAAGCTCAAAAAGGTTCACCATCACTGCCATAGACTTTTGGAGATCCCATACCTGTGCTCTGTGCTACGTCTCTCTGAGGAGAGGTCCTGTGCAGAGTAGCAGTCATTGCGCAAATGCCTAGCCTTATGGAGTACTTGAAGACAAGGGATTGGCTTGAGGCCAAGGCTCTCTAGAACAGCATTGGCAGTATAGGCAGGCCCAAGTCTGAGCAGGGGAGTCTCCTCTGCCATTACAGGATGAGTTACTCTCTCTCTCTCTCTCTCTCTCTCTCTCTCTCTTGGTCCACAGCTCAGCTCTGAGTGGCAGGCTTCCACCTGACATTCTGGCACTCCACTACCCGAGACATGTGGACTAATGAGAGAGCTGCCCCCCCTTGTTGTTGTTCCCCTCATCAGGAACAACAGCAGCAGCAGCAACAACAACAACAACAACAGAGAGCACACCTGTACTCTGTGGTTACTCTGGTTAAATTCCTGCTTGCCCTCCCTTATTGCATTTCATGTTTCTGAAGGCAGCATAGGTTGGCACTGATGGGAGGGCAGAATCTTAATGATGATGGCTGCATCCTCCTTTCCTTTCAGACCAATGGCACATTTGTTCCCACTGCCCAGCTGACATGCCGGGTGTTTTCCAGGAAAGCAGATGCAGAAGTGAACATGCCCTAAGTTTTAAATAGCTAGGCCAATTTTGGATGTGCCATGCCTCTAATGGACAATGAAGGTAGGATAGTTAGATTCATCACCTGAGGGACCTAATTAACGTTGCCAGGTCAGAAGCATCTCATTCCTTGTGATTTCAGGGCCAAAATCTGAGATCAGATAGCAAGCTCTTATAATATTATCAGCGTATGGCAGGCAACAGTTTAGAGATGACCAGAACAGCTCCCCTGTCAGCTAATTGTGGAAATGAGCATGAAGGGGGTGTGCATGAATGGCCCTACAATCCAGATACAGCCTGGCTAACCAAGTTATATATAGCACTCTGAGGCAGAGGGAGGATTCCCATGTTCCCATCCTCTAAATCTGGGCAGTCCAATTTGCATACAGTATCAATGTGCATGACATGCTGATTAATATGGATTTTTCACATTATGCAGTTGAAGCATACTACCATTTCTACTAATGCTTGTTAGCCTTGGAATCCTTTATATAGTATATCTGATCTCAAGGAGTAATAGTTAGTGTTTGGCTTGGAACTGGCAGGTGACAAAATGTACCAGGTATGCAGCCATTCCTGCTACTACATGACATATGGAGAGTTGTTCCGGGCCCTACAATGCTGCTGGGAAGTGTGGAAGATTCACCGCAAGTCCACTGGAAATTTTTCTCAGGTTCTGCTCTGCTGCTCCCAAAGCTTGTGGAATAAGAAGACTCGGAAGTTGCAGTGCTGGTGCACCACTCTTCGCCTTGCTGTAAATGGTACAGTGGATCTGAGTGCCTATACCCTCCACATCTTTCTGCAGCTCCCTCCTCTCAATGTTGTCTTTTGGGTACGCTAATATTCCACAAGGACAACACACATGGAAGCATCTTCTCACAGAGTCATTAAGCCATGGGTGCCAGGTGGGAATAGATGGAGATGGATACTCAGGCTTTAAGGCCAACGTACATGCAAAAATCAGCACCATTTGTTCTGAGATTTCTCTCCTTGCCTGGAGACCTGGAGTAGCACAGCAATTCCCTGTGTTTTCAGTGAGTGCCTGATAATTAGCATAGACCTTATAATGTAGTCCAAACTGATTTTGGGGTTGGAAGGCTAGGGAAGAATAGAGTTTGAATGTAATCTCAGATGGGAGACACAGAAGGAGGCTTCCTGTAGAATGGGAAGGCTGTCAGCTGACCTTTCCACTCTGGTAGCACCATTGGACTGCTTCTGTCACAAATGAAGAAGATTGTCTCATAAATGAATATCAATCTGGCACACCAGCAATGTTCTTGTTTAGTACCTCCTGCCCCACCCAAATTCTGCCTTGACCTTCTATGCTGTGTATGTAAATATAAAACTTACACTGCAGGTACATTAGCAAACAGATTTCTGCAATCAGATATAAGCAAAATAGAGAACTTGTTATTTGAATACTCTTTGCTGAGAGGATTTCAGTTCTCCTGTTTCAGAGATCGGGTATTCCTCCCACTTGTTAGTCAATGGCTTATTACAGTCTCCCTGCTCCCTTCACTTTTCACCCAACTCCCTGAAACAATTATCTGATAAAGTAATTTCATTACAGGTAAGCTGACCATGCTAACAATGCCATGGGTTGAAATATAGGATCATGTCTTATTCATCAAACACTAGACTGGTTCCCCCATAGGAACACACTGAGCTTTGCCCGATTAAAATGGCGAGAGCTTTTGTATTGATTACAATGGCTAGTGCAGACTTTAAAGATACACAAAATGTTTTGCCTGCAAGAAGAACACCCATCAGAAATATTGAAATATTTATTTGTGTACCGGTTTGCAAAGACGCCAAGAAGACCAGAAGCAACTTTTAAAGTGAAATTGTTTATTTTATTGAACAGGCAGATGTCTCTCAGTTGCATTCAGTTGCTTTAGGTAAAAAAAATTCACACACACACAGACACACACACATATCAAAATTATGAGGTATATATAATTGGGGGAGTCGTTTGTTCACTGTAATATCTAATCTGTTTCTACAGGGCGAATTTTCATTCTCACAACTTTGAGGGAGTAATCTGAGGGCTTGAAGGGTACCCAGACCACCCCATTTTCAATCTCATAGGGGACATTGTTTCTTGGGTCATATTGACCTCCCTGATAGTAAATCCCATTGAGATTAGCTGCTTGACAATTGTTGTACCACCAGCCACCTCCGTACACCTCAGCACAGTTCTCCTCCCACTGATCGTGGTCTCTGTCAAAAGTACTGAACTTCATGTTGGCGTGGGCAGTGTATTCGCTGCCTTCCTCCTCCGAGCCTCTGATCAGGGCATCCCCAGCTGTCCCCTCATAATCAGAGATAGTGAGCTTGTAACCTTCTGATTCAGAGCCTATGTGTATAAAATACTCTGCATAAGCTTCATTGCCCTCCCAGTCCTCTACTTCAACCCGAAGGACTGTGTCCTTCTCGGTCAGCAGGTAGAGGTTTTCATTGCCCAGCCAGAGCTCTCCTTTCCCACTGCCATCCACGCTGCCGAAACCTTTCTTGTAGTCTTCCCAGGTCCGGTTAAAATTCAATGACCCATCCAATCTCTGTTGGACCAGAAGCCATCCTCCCAAAGTGGTCTCTTGGTCGCAATACACTGAAAAAAACTGAGCGGATCCTGATGGCTTGATTCTGAAAATGCCACTTTGGGCACCAGAAGTGTGTTTTTGGTGGATATCCTCACAGTCTAAAAAAACAAAGTTGATCGGGTTGAGGTTTTTAGTTAAGCTTTATTACAAGGTCACACAGGAAGTCATACAGTACTCATGCTGAAATCAGTTGGCTACACTGAACTTAGAGCTACAGTGGAAAAACATTTTGCCCTTTCCCCGCACCCCAAACTGATCGTTTACGTGCAAGTTTAATTAGCAGTGACATTCTGTCTTGCTAGCCAATTCATTGCCCATAGTAAGAGCATACCATTCCCCACCTTTCCCCAATGGCAACAGGCACATTGCTTTTCTAGTTTAAACAATGACATGGAGGTTTCAGTAAAAGTTTAGCCTGTGTCAGTTTGGTTGCAAACTTCACTCTTGCTCCCTCAACAATTATGGGTGGATACCTGTCCCGATGTAGCTTTCCCCCAGCTTCTCTCCTCCTGTGCTTGAGCTCCGTGCCCGATAATCAGGAGTATCCTCGCCACTCTCATCATGTTGCACCCCTTCTACTTCCCGAAATGGAAGTTTGACTGACTTGAATTCCAATGTGGAGCCCCCTTTGTTGAAGCCATTTATATGTGTGTTACCGATTACAACAAACTTGGAGTCATGACTTGTTTTCGAAGAGGAAGCGGACGCATGATCGAGCCTAGAGAAGTCATCATCTTCTCCCTCAGTCAGGTCAAAGGAAGTTTCAGAACCATGGAATGATGGGGTGTGGTCAGTGGCTTCTGTGAGTTTGCTGCCAGAACCGAAGTTAAAAAACTCTCTTGCACTTGAACCCAGGGAAGAAAAGTCTGGTAAGCCACTCCCACCACCACCGGAGGAGGTCACTTTGACGTGGTGGGTGCCTCCAGCTTCACTGACTAAACCCTTTAAATGCGAACAGTCTGAACCATCAGGAGTTTTATACTCTTCCAACACCTCTTCTCTGATGCCACCAGCGCTCTGGATTCTTTTTTTGGTGACTGTTCTGATGCAAGTAACTCCAGCAGGAGAACCAGGCCTCACTATTTTCAAATCAGAGCCACCCCTTTGAGTTGTAGTGACACCCTTGCTAGAGGGCATATATTCACCAGCCTCTGCTCCAGGCACAACGTGTTTGGTGACAGCTGGAGATGTTCTGGATCCTGCCCCTGAATCTTCCAAAGTTGCTACCATTATCGTTATATGATTGAGGACGTTCATTTCTTGTTCAGACAGAGGACTAGTTTTAAAATGGCTAGGAACAGTAGAGTCCTTCAATGGTCTCATTTTCAGCACCTTCAAGGGTTTATCTTGAATGGGTGGTTGGAAGTTGATGGAATTGGACTGTGTGAGCTGCATCTGTATATTGGCATAGCTCTCTCTGTCGTCAACGTAGTTGAAAGCACGAGCACACGATCCTTTGCAAGCACGTACCTTAATATCGACATCCACCTAGGTAGAGAAGGATAGGAAACAACATTATAAATAAATAAATGTGTACACCTCAATCCTTCAGTCTTCTCAAGGAGTGTTCTTTAAATATTGGATCATGGTGGTGTAAAGTGAGGAATCCCACGTGGCTGCTCATGAAACCAGGCCCACACCATTTCCTTGAAACCATGGCAGTGTTTTCTTATGCTGACTTGTTTATATGCAGAATTCAGAAGAGTTGCTTGGTTTGGACTACAACTGTCAGAATTTCCCAGGTGGCTGAAGATTTTGGGAGTTCTAGCCCAAAAACATAACGTTCCCAATCTCTGACAGCTAGCCTTACCCACAGAAAACACAAATCAAGAAAACACAAATCATTTACCCACCAAAGAAAACACAAATCAAAACAACTAATTTAATCCCACAAAGGTTGCCGAAGGTTGTCCTTTTTATAGGGGCCCTGTGGATTATAAAAGTGGGGATATAGTTGAAACAAGTAATTTAATCCCACAAAGGTTGACGAAGGTTGTCCTTTTTATAGGGGCCTTGTGGATTATAAAAGTGGGGATATAGTTGACCAGACATGTGCAACACATTCTCTGTGTTTGGAAATGAAAGAAAATGGAAGAACTTGCCTCTAAACGTCTCAGCTCTCCAACTTGATTCTGAATGGTCTTCTGCAGGACTCTAATCCTCTTGACTTGTTCAACAACTCTCTCTTTTAGGATCACAAGTCTTCTCCTCAGGTCATCAGAGATTTCATTATAGCTACCATCGATCTCTGAAGCAAAAGAAGTCATAGCAGCCATGAGTTTTTCATCCATATATTTAAAGGTCCTAATTGACCTAAATTCTGGATGTTTGCACACTCTGCTCAGATTTTTATTCTGCAACAACACTGCCTCATTCATAAAAGGTAATGGAAGTTCTATTCATTCATGGCCAGCTTGTAATTCTCACATTTTCTTTTTGTTTCTTCTGTCTTAAATTAATAGAGAAAATCCATTATAGAAAAAAAGGCAATAGCTGCATATTCCCCTTTAACTGTGAACAGTACAAGCCTTTTGAAAGCTCTGTCTAATTTAGTGCTTAAATTTTAAGATATGGGTGTGTATGATAGTAGGTGGGGAAATATTCTGCTAAACTTTACTATAACAACATTCATTATACACCATAACTTTTTACCGTACAAGAAGTAATTGTGAGTAAAGACTGGGACTGCAGTGGTAGGTCAATATGGGAATAACATTTCGCCCTCTCATGCCATTTGGCCACAAAAAATTTGCCCCAAAAGATTTGCTGATCCATTATGGATCCTCTACATTTTGGTGCCCTGCCACTGAAGATACCCTCACGTTTGCTGCATTCAAACCCAGTTTGTTTGTTTGTTTGTTTGTTTAAATTGTATTTTTACCCCACCTTTCACCTTAAAAAGGACCCAAGGCAGTTTAGACCATTTAAAGAAAAAGTTAAAGATAATATTAGAAGCTAAAACAGGAAGTATACAAATTTTAAAAAGGATCAAACAAACACTACACACTAGCAAACAGTAAAGAACAGCAACACTAAAACACTTTCAGAGCAGTACGGTGCAGCAATCCAATTAAAAAAAAAACCCACTCAGGCAGGCATTCAGGGAAAGCTTGCTTGAAGAGAAAGGCATTTGTCTGCTTGTGAAAGGACAGTAAAGATGGGGCTAGCCAAGCTTTCTGTGGAAAGGCATTCCAAAGTTTGGGGACAGCAATAGAGAAGGCCTTCCCTTGTTTCCCCACCAAATCCTTCTGTGAAAGTGGCAGGACCAAGAGAAAAGTCTCTCCCAATTATCTTAACACTCAGGCATGTTCATCAAGGCAGATGCAGTGCTTGAGGTGGCTTGGGCGAAGGGTGCTTCGGCTGTTCTGGACTAGAACCAACGCTTGAATTCTGCTTTGAAATGGATTGGCAGCCAGTGGAACTTCTGTAATGGGGGGTTGTGTGATCCTTTTAACCAGCCCCAGTTAGCAATCCAGCTGATGCATATTGAGCCCACTGAAGTAACTGAACACCTTCCGGAGGCAGCCCCACATAGAGCAAATTACAGTAATCCGGACGGAATGTAACTAAATCATGTGTCACCAGGGCGAGATCAGACCTCTCCAGGAATGGACGTAGCTGGCACACTAGTTTTAATTATGCAAAGGCACTCCTGGCTACCATCAAAACCTGGGCATCCAGGCTCAGGGATGAAATCAGGAGCACCTCCAAGCTGCACACCTGTGTTTTTAGAGGGGGGTACAACCCAATCCAGCACAGGCTGTATCCTTATTCCTTTATCTGCCTTTTGACTGACCAGGAGCACCTTTTTCTTATCTGGATGAAGTTTCCATTTATCCATCTTCATCCAGTCCATTAATGATATCAGACATGATTCTGGAGCCGAAACAACCTCTTTGGATTTAGACGGCAAAGAGAAATACAGCTGGGTTTCATCCGCCTATATGTTATACAGTAAGAACACAGCAAATAACTTTGTTTTTGTAATTTTTTGATCTCTGTTAAAACAATTAAAAAAATAAAACTCACGTTGCTCGCTGATCAGATTCCTTTCCAGAACTGTACTGATTTCCTCCTTCAGAACACTTGATCTCTTGTAGCTGTTTTGATTGTCCAAGAGCTGTGTCTTAATCTTGTTTATTCTGTCATTAAATTCCTGATCCATTTCATCTATCAGTCCTTGCATCCTGCATCCTGATGGACATTTAGCACCCTATAGTAAGGAAGCAATAAGGACCAAAGTGTTGATGAAACATCTGCCATCTAAATTCATGAGCGGTAGTCAGATAATGGTAATATGTTAGTGGTAGAAGATAGGATAATGGTAGAATATTCCAGGCCAGATTCCATTGTACATGCTTTGCTTTTGATTTTGTACCGCCCTTCTTCATTGAAGGATGCTAACTGGGCAACCTGATGTAATGCTGCTTCTTAATAATAATAAAATTAAAGCAGCCGGGCTATATGTGAATGCGTGTTTAAGAACCCACTTCCCATTTCTTTTGAATCTCTCCGGGTGCCTTGCTCTCTGAATCTAATAGCCATGGCCTAGGCCACAGTTTGTGATTATTTGGACTACAGCACCCAGAAAAGTATTTTTTTTTCAAGCTCTAGACTAGGCCACAGAGTTCTAGGCTACACAACGTTGTACCCACAAGATGGTTGGACAACAACTCCTACAATTTCTTATCATTGACCAAGGTGGCTGCACCTGAAAGGAGACTTGGGATGAAACATGTAGAGAGTACTCCTTTTTGTAGCTGCAATAAAATATGTGCTGTTAAAATTTAGTGCACCAGCTGGGTTACTGAATCCCTGTGTGATGCGTTCAAATTCTAGCACAAAAACTGCTTAAACCCCATTGAAATAAAAAAGATCAAACATTACAGGATGCACAGACACACAAATGTAGTACCAATGGATATGAAATAAATGTTATTTATAGACATAATAACCAAGATTCAAAATAAACAAGCTTCTGATAACTAATATATAACTTCTAAGAATTAGAAAAGTCCAACTTAATTCAATGGTTTTTACTCCAGGCAAGTGCGTAAAATTGATTTTATAATCAGAAGTGTACCATTCTAAACTGTTAGCACCAGTACATAGGGTTTTTTTCTTGATGTTCAGCTAATCTGGAAACTAAAAGCTAAAACTAGTAGCATATTGGGGTCTGGGCTTGCAAGATTGATACCCCAGGACTTTATGAGTAGCAGGGACTGAGAAATCATCTATTATCCCTCTCATGCTTTCTTATTCCTTTTGAATTTAGCTGCTACGCTTTCAGTAGGTGGGAAAGAAATGGATTTTCCCAGGAACAGTTTATTGATGCATACTATTCCTTTTCTACTGCAAGGCATTTTAGCATGGCTTAGTCTTGAATATGCAAATAGGGGCCATTAGGTTGGCATAAGACCTGAAACTCCTTTGTTGATACAGATCAAATAAGCGGACTGCATTTTTTAACTCTTCTGGGGGGAAAGCTGGCTATGGACACTGCCATTATGAGTACCAAATTTTTGCTCTACATCACTGACTCCAAGTCTTTGTGGCAACTACGGAAGTAAGAACACCTTTCTCAATTACTTCTGAAGTCCTCTGGATTCTTCCATTGTTTGCTGGCTTACCCATTCATCATCAGAGCATAATGGCCAGGCCTTGTCGTGTTTGCAGGCAGTCTGGGTTCCATGCTCCACTATTCTGGGCCCACGTACTCCTCCTCCAAGCTCTTCAAAAGTGCCTCCATTTTGTGCTGTCTGTCATGAAAAGAGGGTGAGGCAGACATATTTATTGATTTGATTTGATTTGTATCCCGCCCATCTGGTCTATGCAACCACTCTGAGCGGCTTCCAATATAATACAATTAATAAAAACACATAGTTACATAAATCTACAAATGAAAATGTGGAAACCAAGAAAATAGAGTAAAAATAAATAAAGGAGAAATGAGAAGAGAGAATCAAGTATTGACTGGAGGGAAGGCCTGAATAAACATCCATGTTTTTACTTGGCTTTTGAAGATACCCTGCGTAGGGGCCGCACGAATCTCCGGAGGAAGACATGAAGAACAAAGGCTGAACTAGTCTCCTACTAATATTCCTTGAGATTACTATAAGAGCAGTCCATGCAGACCAACTAGATGGTTTATTTCTACTGCTTAGAAGAACATTGAAGATAATGCAGTCTACCATATACCTATAGGCAACAACTAGAAACATGAAACAGAACAATTATTGAAGTGCAGAGATTGAAGTGCTTCTTAAATCTTCAATCTTAGTCGATACTGAGGCCAAATTATGTAAAAGTATTATCACATAGATGGCGTATAATACAAATGAATACATAATGCAAGTGACTCTGCAGTGAGTATATAGTTTCTAACATTCAGTATGGAAGTGGCTATTTATTTTATTTATTTTATTTATTTATAGAAGTGGCTATTTATTTTATTTTATTTATTAAATTTATACCCTGCCCCTCTAGACCATGTCTACTCAGGGCAGCTTACAACATATGCTATGTGATCCATCCAGAGAAACAAAATGAATATTATTTATTGGATATTATCATCATGATTATGTTAGAACTTCAGAACTGGAAGAGAACCTATGGATCACCAAGTCCAGTCCCCATCAAGGAGACACAGAGGGGAACTCCCAGCTGCTGGCTCCTCAGCCAGATATCTGACAACAATTTCTAGTAGTAGATACTAAGCAGACTTTACTGGATAACTTTTGTTGCTATTGAGTTATATTAAAAGTACTGTTAAATGGTAAAATGGAGTTTACAAATAAATAAATGCAATAGGATATTATCCTGATTAAAAATCAGTACATTCTACTTATACTTGCATGTACAATTGGTTTCTAATCATTACAGCTAGGCTGAAAAAGCAAATGCAGAAGAAATCTGATAGTCCTATACCTAACCGACTGAACACAACTGTAATACATTGTTATGCTAGTGCTTCAGTGACTTAGCTTGTTTTGCAGCCAAAAACTGATCACCTGTCTAAAATAGTTCCATAGGAATGAAATAGACAAAACATATTTTATGTTATACATTACTATAATCGTGATGGCTGGACTGAAACAATTGTTTCAGTTGCTAGAATGCAATTAATGAAGGCTGCAATCCTTATACATACCTGGATGGGAATAAATCACATTAAATCCAGTGGAGTGTATCTCTAAGTATAGATGCGTCTAAATTATATGATCAAAATTTATTATAATGCAATTTTAAACCTAACTTTTAAAAAATCATCACCAATATTGATTTTCCCTAAATGCTTTTTGCTGTATAAATTCAAGATGTACCCAAATACTTCTGAGTTTCATATACAGGAAATGCATTCAAATAAGGCTTATATTATCCACATATATCTGTAAAGCACTAATCAGCAACAGTTTCATCATGAAATGCATGTACAGTATAACAACAATTTTGCAGATGAAAATGCAATAAAATAAAATAAAATTTAAAAATTGCTGGATGTGCAACTACATTATCATTTACCCCATAGCAAGGCACAATCTTTTTGAAGTGGATGGGAAAATACATCTGGGACCACTTCTTGCATGCAACCAGCTGTGCATGACTAGAGTTGATTAAGGCACTGGACATAAAAGCAGAAGTTAATGCAAATTGTGTTCTACCAATAAAGACATGGCTATTGCATCAGTCGCCTTAAGTGAAGGCTCTGTGGAATGACTGTGTCCTTACTCAAGACTGTGTGTCGTTAGTTGTGTGTTATAGCCACCCCAGGATCTACCACCCCCAGTTAAAGAATTTGCAGAAGAAACAGCCATCTTGTGCCTGCTCTTCTTCTAGCAGTCAGTCGATTTTAGCTAAATTATGTTGTTTTCTAAGTAGACCAGCAATGAAAAGAAAACAAAATTGTATAACCAGTACAGAAACAGGGAAACTAAGTAAAATTAGCTCCTACCCCAGCTATGCTGAAGCACAGCAGCATACAGAAGATTCTCATCTGAAACATCTTCAGGAAAGTAGTGATGTGACACAAAGGGGTGCCCTTCATTCAGATCTTTGTGGTTGAATTTAAATCTTATCTTTTGCCTTCCCCATAGTCCAGATTAATGATTAGTTTCTCTTCTGTTTGCAGAGTCATAAGGTGACATCTGAGTTTGGTGACCCAGGATCTCTTGCACAAGTTCTTAGCCTTGTTTGCTGGAAGCCTGCTTGCACAACACCAGCAAACGTGGAAGACAGACATGAGTGGGTAATCCAGCTGTGTTCCAGGAAAGAGATAGTCTGAAGTTTGAGACAAATAACGTGTAGGTAGATCTTTTGGGTACAAAAGCTACATAAACATTGACAAATAGATGGCCTAGTACCATGTCTTAGTACATGGCAGATAACATTGTTGCAATGTGAAATACTGCATTGCTCTGATAATATTGAGATTTGGGACATCACATAGGAGAAGCCTATGTGCTCCCACAAGGAATGGACACAAGACATCCAGGAGAAGCCAAAAAAGTAGTCATTGCTCCCACAAGGAATGGACACAAGACATCAAACATGGATTTCATGCTGTATTGAAACAGTATCTCTGCTGCAACAGTTAAGACAATTAACACAAGCCAAATTCTTCTCAAGCACTCTGGGCCCTTGTCTCTAAGCCAACATTTAGCAGGATTCCTTCATTTGCTGCTTTCCCTTGTCAGTTGACCTTTGAGTGGATCAGGAGCACAGTCCACACCTGATGTTGCTCCTGGTTCTTCAGTTATGGATGTGAAAGGCCAAGTAAGCTGTCAAACCCCGCGATTAACGATATTTCAAGATTCTGATTCTGGGCTGTTTCTTTACAGAATCACACAACTTGCCCCTTTAAAAAACAAAACAGGAAATGTTGTATTTATTTAAATAGAGAGTTTACCAGATCTCTCTCTTACTCTGGCTTCTATGTCTGAAGCAGTGGGCCAGACTCCCAAGTTACTTTCCTTTCAGGAGGCACAGCTCAGTGAACATTCAGTGTTTCTTGTATACTGCACAAGTTAGGCCTCATTTTCCCAAGCTTGTTCCTCATTTTATTCAAGTTAGATGGGTAGAGGGGAGTTTCCCTTTCCTACAATGATGCCTCAGGGTATTTTTCTACATTCCTTTCACTTCCCTTCTTTCCTCTATCAATACTGTACTTGCCTATGGAGGGACCCAGCCTGCCTTGTGATCATTCACCTCACCTATTGAGTTCAAAGTCTAGGTTAAATTAAGTATAGCCACCACCCTCAGCTGAGAGTTGTAAGGGGCCTCTGTTCCTCCTAGGCTGCCCTTCTTTCCTTTATGCCAGAGAATAGAGCTGTGTGTATAAAGAAATTTTCTGGTGGATATAGTCGAAAAATGGAACTTTCCTAACTTCTGTTCCCAACCTTCTTATTGTGTACAGAACAAGAAATAGATCTAAGCTAGGTAAACAAACCTCTGCAGGCACTTAGACCAAAACAGCACTTATTGTCAAAAGAACAGCTAGCTGGAGATCTGAATAGTGGTGGCTGCGTAGAGTTGCTAACAAACCATTCTGATTTTCTCCACTTTTGTCTACTTGCCTGTTATAAAGGTTTGTAGTGTATCAGCAAACCTGTTTTCTAGGAGCGTCTCTCATTATTTGATTGGCATTTAATCAATAAAATGCTAATCATCTCATTCCTTTTTTAATTTTTAAATAATGGTTGTGGTCTTGTTTTTTAGTTCATAGTGAGGGACATTTGAGACTGAAAAACAGTTGAACATGTAACTGGCTTTTCAGTGGCCTATTAATTTATTAACTAGAGCTACACTTTCTAATGCTAGGAAATTGCCATTGATATTTAAATATATGTGATGCCCTGGATCCAAAGAATTATACAGTTAGTTCTTATTTATTCATTTGTTTGTTTGTTTGTTACTACTCTTGAAACACATACATAACTTTCAATTAATAAGCTAAAAACCTGCAAACAAATCCACAGGATGATATCAAAGAATGGCAGATTAAAAAGTCGATCCATTGTGATCTCTTGCCATATATGTCCTCTTTATCTAAGTTTACAAAGTTTGCACATGGGTGATCTGCGAATCTAATCACTTTACTAGTCAACCTTGACTATAAATCACTTCTAAGCAATACAATAGCAGCAATTTCTCTGCACAGTTCATTGAGGGACCACTATACAGTACTTCCTGCAATTGCAAGGACTTGGTCTTCTGATCTGCACTCAAAACCTTTCAAATAATTTTTCAATTCAGTTTTGAAATTATAGGGGATTTTCCAAACCAGTTTTGGAAATGGCATACAGGCTTGTTGTCCGAAGAGAAAGTTAGCTCTCCAGGTATGACCAATAATGTCAGTACAGCTCACATGACTCTTCATATTATGTCTCTTTTTAAAGAAATATAATTGTTTGGAGAAATGAGAATTAGAACCTATAATTGAAATTCACAATTCTGTGTAATTCGATATAAGCTAATCATATGTAAAGTTCTGCTGACCAAGCTCCTGTGCCATACTGCTGGTCAGAAAGTCAACATTGTGCTTACCTCCCCCCAGGTCAGACAGAAATTCAACACTATACTTTCCTGAAAATTCATTTTTCACCAGTTACATTCCCATCAGTTGCACCACTCCTAATAAAACAGGAGCCCTGTCCAGAAAAATAGTGTTGGTGGGTACTCCATAGCCTTGTGTATTTTTAAGATTTTTTTAATTTTATTTATTTATTTAACATATTTCTGCACTACCTTTCTCCCCAAAAGGACCCAAGATTAGACTTAAGAATATTGAACAATGGTGGTGGGCTTGTTTCTAGTTTTGAAAAATGGGCATTCATGATGTTATACAGTGTGGAGTGGCCCCATGACCTTCTTAGAAGGTGGGTTGCACCTTCCCAAAGTGTCCAGGAATTGCAGTACACTTTTTCTCAATGGGGGATTTTGGAAGCAGGGCTGAGGGCCTGCATTAAATCCTAGGGCTGTGTTTTGTTCATCCCTGCTCTAACAGTCTCTGTTTCCATTCTGTGATATACAAGCTGTCAAGCTCCAATCCCAATAACGTAAGCCATACTCTCATGAGTACTCAAACTCATTAATTTCAAACCACAACTACATTTATCACGATTGATAAATCATTATTCAAGGCAATGTGAAAAGCTTTATGGAGTCTCCTTTCCACACCCTTAAAGCAACGTGTAGTAAAATATAAAGGAAAACTCTACCATTTCTGTGCCAAGAAAAACTGACATCATGAACAAAACAGCTGTAAACAAGGCATCCGTATGATTGTACCATTGACCCTTAAGCTACAAACAAGGAGGCAAGACACAGCAATGGGTTTCAAACTGGGTGATAACTTTATCAAACTATTGCCAGTTAAATTCCCTGATTTGCAGTGGGGCCTAAGGTAGTGCCTGAACTTGGAACCGGGGAAGGTAGCTCCTTCTGCCCCCTCCTCAGACTAAATGAGACCCTAGACCTGGGTTGCTGTTGTACTTTTCCAGCATTGCCTCAGCTGGCTCCCAGGGAAAGACCCTCATGCCCCTCAGTCACCTAAGTCTCATGATTTGAGGCTGGCCGTAACCTGAGGCTGCCTCAATAGGTCCATGCCATCTGTTTCCCAGAAATTGAAACTTTTTATGTGGTGGGAGAATGACCCAATCACCCTGAAGGCACCCTGTGGGACTCACCACTACCAACCTTTTCCTCAGCACTGCCTGCCGGATTGTGATCTATTTATAAAGTGATAGCACCCCCATATTTGACCATTGTCACTGTCACAATCAGCATCGGATAGGCAAAATTTCACCCAGTCTCCTTTTTCAATATGCTGAGCAGAAGGCCCAGGTCCGAAATTCCTGTCTGACCCCAATTGTGACCAAAAAACGCCACTCTGGGTTACTGCATGGGTGGGCAGGCTGCTGGTGGCATTCCAGAGAGGCCAACTTTGGGGCAGGCCAGCCTTATAAAGGCTTTCTTCCCTGCCCCTCATGTCAACTGTGTAGCGATCCACTCACATCACCAGAGCGGGGCAGTGCTCCCCTCCCTCCCAGCTGTGGAGCTGTGGGAGAACAAAGGCATCATTAGCACTCAATTTTCTCTTGAATATAGTCATTTTGCTTGTGTATATCCTATCCAGAGTCTTCTCAGCAGATAACATGATCTGTTTTCACTCGACTGAACACAGAAAAAAGTGTCCCAAAGATTATATAATGTAATTCACCACTGAGCAATTATGTTTAGGCCAAAAGATACTGTGCTTGGTCCATGTTTAATTCTTAATTTTAAAAAACATGGTTCATATATCACTTTTTTATTACATTAAAGACAATGGACATATTTCTAAAAGAATAAATAAGAAGTAGGGAAAAGTGGCAGCAAATGCAAATAGAAATGGTGTCATTTGGCTGCATAAATATGATTACAAAGGAATTTAGTAGCATAAGTTTATTTGAAAAAACAGTTTCAGTAATCTGGCCTTTTTATTCACATACCATTGAATGTTTTTAAAATCCAGCTGTCCACCTCCAGTGAGAAACAGGCATCTTTAAAGAGGGGATATTCAACAGTGATCAAATGTATGTAATTGTTTCTGAGTGACTTTTAAAAAAAACTATTGAACTGCATAGGGTGCGGATGTAAACTTTAGGAATACATACACAAATTTATAACCCAGAATGATGTAGTGGCTAGAGTGATGGTCTAGGATTCTTGGCCACGGAAACTACTGGGGGAAAGAAATTGGTAAAAACCACCCCTTAAATATCCCACTTTCCTTGAAAACCCTATGACAGTCACAATAAGTCAGTTTTGGCTTGATGGGACATACTTCTTTCTTTACTTGGATCAGAGCATGGCAAAATTTAAAATGATGGATGTATATGAAATTTAGACAAAAATTGAAAACAAATTCAAATGTTAAGCTAATTACATTATTTTTGACCAGAAGCTGGCTCCTTCAATAGCATTATCTCATCCATTTGATAGATCTTCTTCTGTACATGAGGTAGGGCATATGTTTCATGCATGTAAATGCATGGCTTGAATTTTTCCAAAAAATGTCACAAAAATGTGTCCTGTACCCAAGTAGTCCCATTTTACTTAATTGTTCTTTGATTGACCTGTATCACTTCAAAGTCTGTCAAGTGACTGCCAGATGGTCCAGCTAGAGCAGTGTTTCCCAATCTGGGGGTTGTGACCCCCAAGGAAGTCAAAAAGTGTTTTCTTGAGGGTTGTGGGCTGGCTTATATGTATTGCAGTCCTTGTCAAATAATTTCTTCCTAGCCTTTTTGGAGCAGGGTATTAAAATTAGTGTGTATGTATATGTGTGAGAAACAGGCCCTTTTGGGGAGGAAGAGACCTCTACTTTCTGAGAAGGGATGACCAGGACTATTTTTTACAAAAAAGAAATGGCACTGTAAAAATATAATTGTTGATGTTTCCACAAGAAAGGGATTTTAACTCACTTCCAAAGAGCCTAAAGAAGGGGAGGAAAAGGCAAAAGAAAAAATTGCTTCCTCCACAACAAACCCCCAAGGAGAGGGATATAAAAACAAATGGTGTACCTAATGGTTGCTCTGGGTTTTTCGGGCTCTTTGGTTGTTCTTCCTGATGTTTCGCCAGTCTCTGTGGCCAGCATCTTCAGAGGACAGCAACCTGTGCTCTGGTGTACCTCTTCTGCAGTGGGTGCAAGAAAAAGCTTCATGCTGGTTTTTGAAGGGGATCCTTTCTACATGAAGGTTTTGCCCCCTCCCCGAATACCGCAATGTCCTTCCTCCTCCTCACCCATCTTTGAAGTCCTTTGCCTTCCCTTCTCCCTACCTTTAACTTCTCCCAGTCTGTTCCATCCCCAGTTTTGGCGTGGTGGTGGCAGAGTTGGAGGCAGGAGCATTAGGAGGGTGAGCAGCAGCAGTGACAGTGCCACCACGTCAGACAACAATAGACAACAGCCAATTAATGCAAATGTGGCCATGTGTGCATGTCTGTGTGTGTCACAGGTTACTGGGAGACACTCTGTCTCACTCATCCATTTGATAAGGTGTGTTATTTTTGTTCTCCATAGGTTTAAAACCTAGCCTCTTCTTGTTCAATATTTAGAGCTTGATACGACATATAACAAACTAACACAAATTTATAGTCTTTTAAAAACATTTCTGAATCTTAGTGTAATTATTTTAATTTGTTTAATCTAAGCAGTTAATGGCACAGTTCATCTGTTTATATTCATTCAATTGAGAAGACATATTGCAAAATAGCTAAACCAAAATGTTTTAATTTTACTCATAAGCACTGCAAAATGAGTTTAACTCACATGTAGAAACTGCATATCATTGTTCCATATAGACAGACACGAGCCAGAATAGTTCAGGATTAGGACCTTCAATGTATGGGCTCTCCCTCAATGGCTGCCCTCTCAGTTGCTGACAGTGGGTGTCATGGTACATCTCCAACTATTTCTCACTATGTCAATTTTACCAGTTGGAGATTGTGCAATTGTGTGCCCTTGTCTGAAGGACTTCTGCCCCGTTGGTGAAGAAAACAAATGGGACATTTAATTAATGCCAGATGTATTATTACAGAAGTGTTTATGGGTTCAGAGCACTATTTTATATTTTGTGACTCGTCCAGGTTAACATTTGTCAACAATGTTAATTTAAATTTTTGCAATGGACAATAAAAGAGAAAAGGAATGATCAGGATTTTTCTCCTGAGAAAAGAAAGAGTTAATTGGGATTTGCTGGACACAAATACAGAACAGTCCTACTGGGTCAAAAGTCCATCTACAGTAGTTCAGAGTTCTGGAAAACCCACGGACAAGCAACATCCCTTCTCTCTTGTTTGGTCTACAGAAATTAGGAATTAAAGGACAGGATCCAGTGCTAAGTATCTGCTGCCAGATCAATGAAATCCAGTGGATATGGGGGGGGGGCAACTTGTTCCTCCCACTGAAGATCTCTGTGCATCAAAAAATACACAATGGAGGTCTGAGAAACCCCCATCTGTTTCCAGGCAGAGTGCAAGGAATTGATTCCTACAATGCTGGAGCTGCTGGTCCAAGCCTGAATCCAACCCTGTGAATTTGTCTAATTGGATGGTTTCTAAACTTAGGTCTCCAGATGTACTTGGACTACAACTCCCCGAATTCCCAGACAGTATCACCAATGGGCAGGAATTCTGGGAGTTTTAGTTCGGTAACATCTGCCCCCTAAGGTTCAAAAGCACTTGTCTATTCCTCTTTTAAGCCCATCAAATCTATTGTTTGTCAGCACATGGTATGGCAGTAAAGTCATGGTACCTGTGATGCACATCTATACTACCTGACTTAAAAAATAGACTACATGAAATAAAATGCTGTTCTGGGGCAAAACCACAGTCATGTATTTATTTTTAAAAATGAGTCAGGCAAGTGAAGCAGTTGTGGGAATGGTTCCCATAAGAGACCAGTATACTGATCAAACACTATTCAGATATGGATACAGTTTTGACAAAATTTACAGTAGATTTTCTTCTTTTATTGTCTTTTTAAATGTCTCCTCGGCTTCCAATATCTTTTATTCCTCCAGTTTGCTGTCCTGTTACCACTGCAAGTCGGCTGAATGGAATGACTTTCATTTCTGTTTCCTTCATGGAATACCATCGAGAACGCCAGGTTACCCAAGTAATGCCATTATCGTGGCCATGTGGAGCTGCATCTTTCTCAGTATAGGTGCCACCTGAAATGCAAGCAACACTGTAAAAACTACTTGGCCTGTGAGATATTTATATCTAACTATAAGCATGATGCCTGTTAGGTATAAACTGTCCAATGTTCTGAGGCTTGCTGTTCCTAGCATTTTTAACTTTCCACAGGACTGAATTTTTGAGACTCCCAGAGACACATTTTGTTACAGAATTTATATGGAACAAGATCAACAATAGCATTCCATGGCAATGTTACCTGCTCAATTGTAAATAAAGCTCTAGGTTTCAGTCAGCTGCCATATACATTTTTAACAAAAGAAGAAGCGATCAAAAACCCACAGCTGGGACAACGGCCAGAAGCCCAGATCTCTTGACTTGAAGGGAATCCTCTTTGCTGTTCAGGAGTGAGGAGTGAAAGCCATATGGACTGGCAGCCATTCATAGTGACTACAGCTACTCTCTCAGCACCCTGTAGTTTCCAGCAGCTCAGAGTTCCTCAGCCAGCCAATGAGGGAGAAGGTGGGCCAGCAATGAGTGCAGCTGAGCACAGATGAGTGTTGCTGTTACCACTCTGCCTCTTAGGTAGTTAAAAGCACTGTGGAAGCTGCTCGGCCTCATTTCTGCTTTGGGATTTCTTCACTCCACTCCCTTCTTTCTACTTGCAGGCAGTAGGCCAGTGGTAATTATGAGGGGCTATGAGGCAGGAAGAAGGCTCTGGGGTGGAAAACTTTATTAGGGAATTGCAGCTAATGAAGGAGAGGGGTTGAGCACTGCACGTCAGTTGTGCAACCCAGCATGCAACAACAGATGTTTACTCCACCTTCTCAATTAGCGCCAATTAGCTGCTGAAATCTACTCTGTTCCAGACAAAAATAATAAAAATGCTTGTGAGACATCAATGCATGTGTGATATGTTAAATGTCAACTAAACAAACAAACAACATTTGTTGGATTTAGTCTTACATTTTAATGCTTATGTAAGGAAAAATCAGAGATCCATTGTGGTATAGTGGGTAGAGTGTTGGACTAGGACTCAGGAGACCAGGGAAACTGAGCCATGGAAACTGACTTGAGGGTGGAAATGGTAAACTGTTCAACGAATATCTCACACACCTCAAAACCTTAATAAGGTTGCTATAAATCAGAAGTGACTTAGTATATCACAAGAACCACAAAGAAAGGTTAAAGGTAGTTGGAAGCCATTGGGGTTCCAAGGCAAGACTATCAGACTGCTTCACACCTGCTTTTAGCACATTTCTCTTTTATGGTGCCTTAACTTACTCTGCTTTGTTATAACCTGAGCTGGTTCCTGATTCTGTTGAAAAAGTACCCAGATTATTCCAAATACAAGGAGCCCAACCGCCTGCACCATTAGGCAAAGTAAGGCAACCACCTGAAGCAGAAGATGCTGGGAAGGGGTAAGAGTGGAAGCTCCCTGGCCATTCCCTCTGTTGGAGAACGGTGTGTGCCACTTAGTGTGTCATGCACCTGCTAAATTAGCCTGCTGCCCTCAGCTATGGAGGAAAATGGGGTCCTATCTCCATTAACATTCAATTGCAAGTGCAATTAGCTCCTGCGTGTTGAATAGAACAGGGAGGTATCTTGCCTTCAGTTTAAGCAAAAAAAGCATTTTGGAATGCCTGCTGGGGAAATTAAAGGAAAATGGATGGGAAGGAGTCAAAGTTCACTATGGAGGGTCCTATAACTGAGAACACTCTGCCACTTGCACTAGCTTTCAGAGAGGACAGGGGATTTGAAACAGAGCTTTCTGTGAATATTTGAGCATCCATGGAAATTCATGTTTTTACCTTGATAATATTTGCCATTGAGGTGAGCAGCATGACATTGATTCATCCACCACCCGGATCCGTCCTGTTCAGCACAATTCCCACTGTATTTATCGTTGTCTCGATCGTATGTGCTGAACTGCATGCCATTGTGGGAGGTAAAGAATTTGTCACTTGGATCATCTCCAAAATCAAAACCGTCAAAGGCATCACCAGCCTCACCCCCAATAAAATGGGTATAGATCAGGCGATACTTGTCTGCTTCACCGGCCACTTTGAAGTTGGCATAATCTGCATGGCTGTGCAAAGGGGGGGGGGGGAGAAGGAGAGGGAGAGGGAGAGCGAGAGGGAGAGAAGTAAAATCCCAATTTAACATGTATAAATTATTTTTGATATATTTCATTTCTCAGACATGGTGGATTGTTTTCCACGATACAAGTATTTCAGGAATCATAATCCACTATAAACAGCTGCTCTCATCTGAATAATGGGACGGAGGAGTCCTTTTTAAATCATGTCAACTTAGACTAAGAGGATAAGTAGATAATTTGTGACTAAGTTAATTAAATAAAGATAAGTTAACTAAAGCACTTGTAAGTCCAGTTTCAACCCATCATGATATGTATGTATTATCAAAAGTGCATCAGGTAGGATGCGAGTAAGAAGCAAATAAAAATAATTGCATTCCCAAATAATGTTAATAAGTAAAAAAAAAAACACCTGGTCTGGACTGTTGCAAAGGAGTTAAAATCACATTATTTAGGAAGCAGCAGAATCTGCAGGAACAACTAACATTAGATTCTTAAGATAAGCAGCATGTATCATATAGAGGCAGAGGGGAAAAATAAATATAGCAAAAGGCTGTAAAAGGCTGGCCTGGTTTTGACAAAAGCCCTTGTTGTAGATTTTGGTCTGTACTCCAGGAGATGAGAGAAGAGGATATCTTTGGAGCAGGGCCAGGACCAGATTCAAGAAATCGGTCGCTACATAGTATAACCAAGAGCATGCATCCTTTTCAATCCTGTGGGCTGCATTTCTTCTCATCAAAGAACTGCAGTGGAAACACAGCCAAGCAGGATAAAAGGGGTTTGCTGCACCAAGAGTGCCTGCATCCATACTTCCAGCAGCTTACAATGATCTTAGAGGGAGGATCAGCAAGGGCAAATCCCTGGTATGTCCTGGGTGTATAAGCACATTAGGGCATACTGAAGTGTCTCGAAGGTGCATGTAACTAATGAGTTCTCACTTGCAGCATGGTAGTAATCTGTACCACAGCACCGAAGACATCTTTTTTCAATGGTCTACCTTGTCTGGCCATTCCAATCCTCCAGGGTAATTCGCAAGACATATGGAATTGTTGACTGTGTGGTCAGCAAGTGAATCTTTTCATTTCCCAACCAGAATTCTGTCTGGTCATTTGGTGACAGGTGTCCAAAACCTTCCTTGTATTGAATCCAGCTTCTCCTGAAATCTTCACTACCATCAAGTCTCTGATAGGAATTAGGAGGAAAAAATGGGAAGAGAAAGATGATTAACAGAACCAGCATCCTTTCTATAAAACTGGTATTGTGTTCTAGACTGTGGACTTCATTTCATGCGTCCACGTTACAGACTACCTACCCTCTGTAGAACTGTCCAACCATTTCCCAATGTATCCATTTCACAATAGACCAGGAACTGCTCCTTGGCTCTTTGAGGTTTGATGAAATAGAGACCACTTTGCCTGGCACCTTTGTTTGCTATGTCTTGACAATCTATAATAACCATATATGGAAGATGTTCAGTTGTTTAACTGCAGGCCACTTTAATACATGTTTCAGCCATATAACATTAAGCAAGATCCCCGACATCATTAGTTATTTGTTACTCTTTTTTAAAAACGTGCTCTTCGCCCACAGTACTCAGGGCAGTACACATTGTGTATCCTGACTTCTTTTAATAACTCTGAATAAATATTTGAATAGCAACCATTTATGGATTGAATAGAGGGAGTGCTTTTCCACCATCACCCCATTTTATGCAGAGATGGCCCTATGCTCCAGTTACAAGCCACCAATGGATTTGAATCCAGTATTCCCTGGTCCACATCCTGCACTGTACCCTCTATATACCACACTAGCCATACTCTCCAAACCACTTATTCTAGAATTCACTAAAATGATCAGAGGAAGAGATTTAAAGAATATTGCCAGGGTGCTTTGCAACAGTACAGTGTTCTGTTTCCATGTAACTATCTTCCTTCACATTTTGTTTACCTCAATGGTTATGATTTTAACTTCTGTTCTTGAAACTATTGTTTTATATAAGCATTGTTGACACTATTGTTGGCACACAGGATCCCCAGTGTGTTGTAGTGGCTAGAGCGACAGACAAGGACTCTGGAGAACAGAGTTTGAATCCCCTACTCAGCCATGTAAACTCACTGGCGAGTGGAACTGGTAAACCCAATCCTTAAATATCTCATTGACCTTGAAAACCCTATTAGGATCGCTATGACTCTGTTCTGACTTGATAGCACAGAACACACATACATTGTTGACATTATACAGAATGGTAACAAGGGGTTTAAGTATTGGAATTCAAGATATAAAATACTTATGGGTATTTGCTATATGTAGCAGCTGGAGTTTGATACAAATTTAAAACAAAGTATCGTAAATAAATTGACTGTCTGCCACAAAGCAAGACATCTATACAATAGACCAGTGGTCTCCAGATGTTCTTGGACTTCAACTCCCAGAAATCCTGACCAGCAGAGGTGGTGGTGAAGGCTTCTCGGAGTTATAGTCCAAGAACATCTGGAGGCCCAAGGTTGGGGACCACTGCAATAGACAATATATACATGTTTGGCCTGTCAATGGTTTTGTGGGTTTCCATTTCTCCTATTGACCACAAATCACCAAAGGGTGCCATTCAAGGGTTAATGGATTCTTCTGCATGATCACTGGCTATGGGGATGAGTCAAGCACATGAACAGCAATGATGATAATCATGATAACAAGGATGATACTTATGCAGATACTGATGGGTTTTTTGTGAGAAATTAACACTGTGTAGCGAAAAACAAACCACCCTTCCATAAAACTTAACATTGCCACGATTGTAAACAGGTTCCTGTTTCCTGTTAAGCAGCAAAGGCTTTTATACAGAAATATGTTTTTATATATCCAAAGGTTGCAAAGTAACTTTTTTGGGATTACAGTGCCTTTCACCTCCCCAGCCAGCATTGCTACAAACCATGTTGATTCAAGGATTCAGAAGCTGTAGTCCAAAGAACTTTATACTTTACCATACAATCTGCAGGTAGCAGCTCAATGATTTCAACAATAATTACTGACTACAGTTTTAGGGCAGGGACTCTTTTTCTTCCTAGGTGATTTAAACATCTCAGCTTGGAAGTTGGGGGACAGAAATAATATCATCATCCAGATATATTTTAAAAAGAAGAGTTATCACTCTTTCTTACCTCTTCCAGTTAATTCCTGTATCTGGACAGTGTCTTTGCATGGCTGCTGACATTGTGCCTCAAGCTGAGCCGTCCTCTGCTTTAATTGTTGGATCTTGTTATTGTTTGCTACCATTAAATCAGTCAGTTGTCTGGAGATTTAAGGATTTACTTCAGCATAGATTTATTGCAACAATACTTCAAGCCACACCCAAGAGCCAGAAATCTATCCCACATGTAGATTGACTAAAGGGGGGAGGGAGAGGGGGGTCTGGGTCCACACCACACCACAATCAGCCTTCCATACAAAGCACAGAAGTTACATCTGTGGGGCACTGCAGCATTCCTCCATTCTCCTCCGTGCATTCCCTATACATGTGAAGGGGGTGTCTGAACTGGGCTATAAACTTTTCAGATCAACTCCTTTCTCTATGTTTATGCCTGGTAGAGGAATAGGCTCACTGGGCATAATGAAGAAACTCAACCTGACAAGAAATTCAAAAAGAGAAAACTTTCATTTGGAAAAAAGTGGAGGCAGAAAGGTCAGTGGGTAACCTTAGACACATCACTGTTTCTTAACCGATATCATGTGCTTGATGTGAAGACAAAACGGAGTGGGGGAAACTATGCACATTGCCTTGAGTTCACTGGGAAGAATTGTTTTAAAAAAATCCTGTTCTCTGAGTACTGTTGTTGTTCTTTGTCCTCAATTTTTCAGCCGGGGATTATAAAGCTTTAAAAAGTGGTAACTGATTTGCTTAATGCAGATGTGATTATACGAATGCAAGAATCTTCTTTTATATATCAACACTCCATCTGTATGGCAACATAGAAGTGGCAAAAACTAAACAAGCAGGATATGTCTGAATCTGAAACTGTAACAGAAAATACGTACTGGATAGTATTTTCATGGGCCAGAATAACATTTTCATATCTGATTATTTCATCAATGATTTCCTTGGATTTCTGAGTATAACCTGAAGCTATATCTGTAAAACAAGCACAAAAATGTACCAAATATTAATGGTTAATATTGCATAAATCAGAAAAAAAGGAACTCTAGATATTCTTACTTGGAATATCTCTAGATATTCTTACTTGGCTGAGCTGAAGAGCCTGGGATGTGGATTTGTCTTATCTGACGAATCAAATGCTCTGTAACATCTGAAGAGTTGGAAATATCGTGCAAGATTCGTTCAAGTTCCTGGAGATCTTGATCCACCTCAGGTTGATATTTGTTCAAAAAATCTGCAATACCGCATGTAGTGGGGCAAAAGCTGCCCTATAAGAAAGAAGAATATTTAATGATACTGAGCAACAAAGAATGTTTAATGGCTTCACTGTACAATTTCCCCTCTCTTACATCTATACAAGCAGACACTGTAGGACATTACATTTATCTATAGTACAGGGTCTAGATGACTTAAAAAATGTAATGACAAACAAGCTGTTGTTATACTGTTCCAGATGTTGCATTCAATCAGTAATCATTTTTTTAAAAATTACACACTTTAATAACAGTTTGATAATCTTTACAAGCAATAATGTATACGTAATAATCATTTTGGTAAGAGGAGCAACAATAGCACATATATTGACTTACAAATCGTTCGTCCAGGATACAGCAGTTGTCTCTGGTAGCATCAAACTAAAATAGGAAAAAAGCAGCAGCTTTAGTGACTTTTGTAATTATTTGAGCCATAACAAATAAAAACACAACAGACTGTTACCCTCCTGAATTACACTTACTGTAGCACAAGTGGAAAAGAATAAAGACAGAAGAGGCAGCCAGGTGTTGAACTTTGGTTTCATTGTGAACAACTGAATGCTGAAGAGGCAGTGTTTGAACAGTGCAGCCTTAATAGTTTCAGAGATCTGAGGCTGCTGATTGATTTGTCCAACGACAGCTTAAAGGATCTGACAGCATACAGTGGGAGGACTCAATATTGTAAATAGGGATTGTGTAAAGGGCAGCCTCTTCCTGGCCTTTGGGGGCGTTTCTAGGATCTGCTGGCTCTTCTTTCCAATTTTAACAATGAGGAATTTGTACCCAATGTCCACCCACACATGTCTCCCCCTCAAAAAAAGGTTGTGGCAGAACATGGAGCAATCACTTTGTGTAATCAGGTGTTAAGAAAACATGTCTGAATGAATCAGATAGCAAAGATTTTAAGAGAAGTACTTGGCTGACACTCTTCAAAATTTAAAGACGTGAATGCATAATGCTGTGAAATGGCTGATACCATGCTTAAGGACTACAATATTGATTTTTTAAAATATATATTATTAGTTCAGGATTCAGATTCTTCACAGCCAAAGAGCTAAGTTTTCCAGTAGATGCAACCATAAATGTATAAACATAAATATAGCATTAAAAGCTTTAAGACAATTGCAGCATGAGAAATATCATCCACTAAACCACTGTAAACAAGCATGAGGTGGGCGAGTTTCTTTCCTCTGTACCCATGTCATTGCCCTGATCTGGATCTACCCACCCTTTACTGCCTATTGTTAATATTAGCATTGTTAAAACCAACCACATGAAAATCATTGCATCTGGTTTAGCCTGAGATGGCTCCAGCTTGGTTTCCTGGAGCAGCAGTTTCTTCCTGATTGATGCCTTCTTCAGTGAGATCCCACACCAAGCCTGAGCCATTTGAAGAAGCCTTGCTGGAGCCCTTTGGAAGGCTCTTCCTTTTTGCTTCTGTCTCTGAAGGAAGTGGCCTTTCGGACAAGCATAGTCAATCTGATGGTTGTTGTGGGTTTTTTGGGCTCTTTGGCCATGTTCTGAAGGTTGTTCTTCCTAATGTTTCGCCAGTCTCTGTAGCCGGCATCTCCAGAGGACAGGAGTCAGAACTCTATCTGTGCTCTGGTCAATTTGCTTTGGAGCTATGAATGTGGAAAGTAGGTCTGAGACATACTCTGACAGTTCTTCTTTCTCAAAAAGATGACGATTACCTGAAGGCTCAAGCCATCTAAATATCTCTCTCATCTTCCATTCTGACTGTATCATATATAGGAATACAGTGAAATTAGTCACCCTTACTCATCAATTTGCTTTGGAGCTACGAATGTGGAAAGTAGGTCTGAGACATACTCTGACAGTTCTTCTTTCTCAAAAAGATGACGATTGCCTGAAGGCTCAAGCCATTCTAACATTATTATTTATTTACTAAATCTCTCTCTCATCTTCCATTCTGACAGTATCATATACAGTGAAATTAGTCACCCTTACTCATCCGTTAATCCAGCTGCAACAGATGTTTCATGATATTCAGTTCAACTGAAATTTGTTTATGTGTAGAGATGGGCATGAACCACCAATTTGGCGGCTCTGCCTGGTTTATTTAACGTTGCAACCAGTGTTCAGCAGTTTGACACCCCACCTCCTCTGGAGACCACCCACTCAGAGGCAATGTCCTGCTTTCCCTGCCCTATCCCCTCTGAGTGCTGCCTCTGAGTGGGCGCCCACTGGCAGGGTTGGAGCACCAAACCGCTGAACAGTTGTTGTTGTGGTAAACAAACTGGGATGAATCACCAAGGCAGTGGTTTGTCCCCATCGCTATTCATGAATTTTGTTTTTTAAAGTATGTCTTGCCTATTTGAAAAATGGGGACAAAACGGATAACAGCATAAAAATACCAAATAATTTAAAAATACCTAGTGTGGGGTTTTGTTTTGAAAACGTGAAAAACAAAAATCATGAAAGATTTGCATTAAAAGAACAAAGCCAAGAGAACATTTAAATAAAGGCCTTCTGAAAAAATGCTTTCGCCAAACACTTAAACAGTGTCTTGATATCCCACAAATGTCCTTCAGAATAGCATTCTATGGGGAGGTAGGCTTGGTTGAAAGAGCCTTACTCCTGCTGGCTGCCTTTTTCAACAGTGGAATCTGCATCAAGGCCTCAGATGTGGAGCAGGGCATGTTGGAAGAACATGGAAAGCAATTCTTGAGGTAAAAGGTTTGAGGGTGATTTAGGGCTTATTGTCAAGGGATTGCCACAAATGTTTAGAACATTTAGGAATCATGGAAAGCATCTGTGTTACATTCTAGATAATATTTTCTTATCAAAAACAACTAATCTGATGGTGCTGGACTCCTCTGTAGCCATGGTGTAGTGGTCTAACATGGCTGCCCTTTAGATTTTCCTATTACTGTTTTGATTTTGAGTCACTAATACTTCCAATGGAAGGTGATAAAAAAAAAATAGAAACACGGCAATCAGCCCTCAATAGCCAACTATGATCTATATGAAGATTAATATTTGTCAATGTACCATATGGATGAATTATTAGAATACAACAATAATCAGGTCACAACATTAAAGTTAGTGATAAATTAGATTGATTGAGTTACATAAAAATGTCAAAATTTGCCCTCAGTTGTTAGTACACAAAAAATATGTCCTGTTAAAAAATGTTATGTACATAAGTACATAACTGCAGATGGCAACCACCTCACATGGAAGTGAATGTTTAAAGATTACATCTGAAAAATAAGTGATTATTAGAATGACATTATTGGTGAGAGAAAGGTAAGATAAGTTATGTTATGTAATACTTTGAGTGACCCTCCTTAGTCCCATCTTGTGTTCATGTCACTTTAGAGACAATTCTTCAATAGAAAGTAAATATTTTAAAATAATGGGCAATTCAATTTTAGAGGCCTAAACAATACATTTTTAGAGGCCAACACTTGGTGTGTCCAGTTGAGCAATTCTGACCTTCCTGTGGTTTGTTGGCTTATTTCTCAAGAAACTGAATGATTAATGCAAATGAAGATAAAAAGAAGATTTCTGAAATCTAGATTATTGTGTCCCTTTCTCAACCTGATAAGAAAGGTGAAATTAGTATTTGTTTAGGGTCTTTTTAAAAACAAACCTTCAAAGAATTGGGCCATTTAGTTCAAAACTTTGTGTATCTTATTTGTTATGTAAACAATAAGCTTGAGCCAGTCTTTTTCCTTCATAGGAACATTGGAAATTTATCCTAAATGTTCCGACTGAGGTGAACATTTAATATAATAAAACAGAAGAGAATGGGAAATATCTCTGAGTTTACTTGGCAGTTACAGAAACCTGTGTAATAGATTAGGACACTAGTAGAATGTTTAAACAAAGTCTATGTATCAGTTTTGTTTACAGTTTTATATCACATGAGGGATGGACTCTAAGAAGAAGTTAGAAGAAAAGGTGTATGGGAATATGAGAAGGTGTCTTGTATCAAGTCAGAGCACTGATCAACCTAGGTCAGTATTGTCCAAAGGACACTTTTGGTCTCCAGATGTTTTTGCCAACAATTCCCATCAGCCCCTTCCAGAATTGCCAATGGTAAAGTCCTTTGGGAACAGTAGCCAAAAATACTTAGATGGTCAAATGTCTACACATCTTGTCCACAGCAATATGCTGCTTTCACTGTAGGGGACACATTGATTAGTCTAGTCAGTTAAACTGGCAAGCACATCATCTATAATTCATAATTAGTGTAAACGTAACCATTATCCATTGTGATTTTATTTCGTAGGTGAAGTAAATCACAACGGAAAAAAATATAAGCAAAAGCTGTCCCTAACATGATTTCTATTTATTACGGAGAGAAATCTTAAAATGAGAATCTCCAGTGTTGCATGCCCAGATCCTTTAAAAATAAAACAGAATGCAAAATTATGTCAGCCGCAGCATCTTCTCTTAATATGAAGGGGGGGGGAGGGAAAATGTGGTCATAAGTGAAATGTCACTGACTCTGAAAGCTGAAGGATATTTGTAATATGGCAATTCTTCATGGTGTTATAAAGTATATTTTGATCCAGCCTAATGTGCTAACTTTCAGTCGTGAGTTATTTTTATGTCATAAAGGTATTTCAGGCAATCTTATAGATTATCTCCCATAGATGCTATCATTAACGACCATGCTCAGGTCTGGTAAACTAAAGGCCATTATTTCCGTTGAGTCAAGAGTCTGAATTACATGCAAGCTTAGCTCTTCTTTTTCCCTTTGAAATATATGAGACTTCTTAAAATTAACTTAACTCTGTTTTGTGCTAAATATTAGTGCAATTGACATAATTTTAAGAGGAAAAAATGAGTGAACTAAAATATAGATTTATCTACAATATTTTTATTATCTTTCCAAGGCATTTTCTTGGACTTAAGAGGTGGGAATGGAGAATTCTATATTTGCTCAAGGTTCAATAACAAATAGTTTAGACTTGTTTACTATTCTGACAAAGTACACAGAATTTGTGGCCAACTAAGCTAAATGTCCATTAACAAAATCCATCATAAATCTCCATAATGAACAGGATGACGGTCACTACACTGAAGATCAATCTGAAGCAGGTCCCATTAGTATATTTTTCACCTACCAAGAGAGGTGGTGTTCAACCAGTTCTAGATGAAGATGCACTTTCTCTAAATATCCAGCTCACAGTTTTGATCTAGAGTTGTCAAAAGATGCACAGGTAACCTCCGTGATAGGCAGCACTCTCCACGTACAAGATAATGCACAGATGCTTCCTGAATAGCACAGATGAATGAGTGACAGGCAGGACGAAAGAACTTTTTTTTTTTGGTAATACACAAGACAAAAGTTGTTGCTTATAATTTTACTTGCTATTCCCTTATCAGGATGTTATTTTTGTATATCCCAGATGGTATAATAAAGTAATTTATGCAGTTGCTGTGCTGTTTTGAAAATGTGCTTTGTACAAATGACATTTGGAAGCATTTTCAGATTTTAATGCTTCTATTGTTCATAAGTACACCATCTTCCATAGCACAACAATGCATAGTACTTTATTGGTTTTCAGATGCTTGATGGACTATTATGAAAGTTTACTTTTTGAAGTTCTTCATCTGAAAGAGATTGCAGTATACACTTTGCCTTGAGCTAAAGAGCAGTGAACTCCTTTTGTTAAATAAAGAACTGATTAGTAATATGCAAGGGGAAGATAAATAGTCAACTCAAAT